CCATCAATTTATTTCATTTTTGGTGACTTAACAGAGTGTAAAATAAATCAGAGTCCAGCGATACAAAGGAAAAAAAAAATCATGATAATTACGACAGTTACGTGACGGTAGTCAATGAATTCAAACATATTTATTTACACTTTGCTTATTTTTGGCACCAATAAAGGTGCTTCAATGAACCCATGCTGTGCTCGGATACTTTTTAATGACATTAAAAACAGTTAGCAAATTAGGCTGGAAAATATAAGACATACAGTGAAGCCTCCGAATCTGAACACCAGAGCACTCAAAGAACTTAGAATCTGAACACCAGAGCACTCAAAGAACTTAGAATCTGAACACCAGAGCACTCAAAGAACTTAGAATCTGAACACCAGAGCACTCAAAGAACTTAGAATCTGAACACCAGAGCACTCAAAGAACTTAGAATCTGAACACCAGAGCACTCAAAGAACTTAGAATCTGAACACCAGAGCACTCAAAGAACTTAGAATCTGAACACCAGAGCATTCTAAGAGCTTAGAATCTGAACACCAAGGCACTCAAAGAACTTAGAATCTGAACACCAGAGCATTCAAAGAACTTAGAATCTGAACACCAGAGCATTCTAAGAGCTTAGAATCTGAACACCAAAGCACTCAAAGAACTTGGAATCTGAACACCAGAGCATTCAAAGAACTTAGAATCTGAACACCAGAGCATTCTAAGAACTTAGAATCTGAACACCAAAGCACTCAAAGAACTTAGAATCTGAACACCAGAGCACTCAAAGAACTTAGAATCTGAACACCAGAGCATTCTAAGAACTTAGAATCTGAACACCAAAGCACTCAAAGAACTTAGAATCTGAACAAAAATCTCAAGAAAATTTTTGCTCAAAATCTGGATGCTGCTTTGGAATCCAACTGCCCAGCACATTCTTTGGTTTTTGGTTTTTTATTGTGCTCACAAATTTCCTGTTCAGTTTGTTATCAGAAACGGCTGTGAATCCATCTCATTTCATTTTTGCTGCCATTTTTATGGCTTGTTCCCTTTTTTTGTGTTATTTTTGAAAAATATAATAAAAGCTTAGTGTTGCTGGCATCCATCCGTCACAAAGTGAAGATGGTGTAGGCTTAGGGGGCCGAAATCCACAAGGCCTGGGATTATTCTTGAAGGATTATAAGCTGGTTCCCAACAGCAAATCGCCTCTCTCCACACCGCTGGAGAAACCAAGGGAACATCAATTGGATGATACCGCTTGGCACCAGTGACGTCGCAGGAGTTGTCGGAATGTTTCATTGTACCAATGTTATCCGCCTTTCGTGACTCCATCTCCGGGTTTGATTTTAGAGTTTCCTTCTCTTAGATGAGTTGCCATCCAAGGTTGACAAGTCCCATCCACCCGGGGATGTGTAAAGCTTAGTGTATTCCCCAGGGATCATAAAAAGTGTAGTCAATTAAGTTATTATTGTATATCCTTCACACAAGAAGATGACTAAGGCTTGAGTAGTAGCTTTGACTTGATTAGTAGCCTTGACTTGAGTTGTAGCCTTGGCTTGAGTAGTAGCCTCGACTTGAGTAGTAGCCTCGGCTTGAGTAGTAGCCTTGAGTTGAGTAGTAGCCTCGACTTGAGAAGTAGCCTTGGCTTGAGTGGTAGCCTTGACTTGAGCCGTATTTTGTTTAAGTTGAAAAAAGTCGCTCAATTCATCAGCCTCACTCTCTCATCCTTCCCTATTTGATCCAAGTAGTAAGATGACAAGCAGTGTGTCTTGCGTATTTCACTGTGCTCTTTAAGTGTTATACATCGTAGGAGTTGTCTGAATTTTCATCATGTCATATTGCCTATGGGACTCCATCTATGGGTTTCATTGCCGAGTTTGCATTCTCTTGGATGAGTTTCCTTCCAAGGTTAACAAGTCCCACCCACCCGGGTGAGGAAAATAAGAGTAAGATGATGGCTGTCACATCTAAACTTGAAGTTAAGAAAGATCTTATCACCAAGCATGAAATCGGTACATGTGTGAGGTGCAGCTATCCCGCTACTATGTTTGGGACGCCTAAATCGATTGTACATATTGAAAAATAAAAAGAGTCCACAAAGCAGCTGATGTGGCAAAAGAGTGTGGTGACACTGACCACTAGGAGATCGTAAAGTATGAATGAGATGGGAAAGAGAACTCCTCTTAGTCTTAGCTGGGATTAATGAAAAACAGCTGGCTGGTGATGTCATTTCTAAGACGATATCATGTTAGAAACGCTGATTTAGTGAAAGGCATTTCTGACACTAGAGGTCAAAAGGAGGCATTGAAAGCCAGTAGGAAGTGGTTTGAGAACTCGAAGAAAATTACTGGCATCCATAGAGTTTATAGTTCTTATGGATTAATCCAGTTTCTATTACTTCTAGAAAAAAAAAATCGTCTAGGAACTCAACCCATGGAAGTCGAATGGGGGTTCTGGAATGGATTAAGTTTGGATTCCGAGGCCTCATTGTAGTTTTGAAGTTTCATAGAAAATTGTTAAGTTTTTACTAAGCACTGTCAGATATTTTGTATTCCTGAAAAAACTTGCCACTAGAACATTTTGTGATAAAAGTAAGAAAAGTCCATTAAATTAATGGAGGCAGTAGTAATCTAACAAGTCGAAAGAAAGGTCCAGATAGAAAATGGAGAATAGAATTTGATACTTGGAAGCACTGACCTGGTCTTTAGCTGTTTCCTGACCACAGTAAGGACATAGCACAATCGCTTTAGGGCATAGAATCTGATGGCTCTGTAAAGTAACAGCAGTGATGCAACAACTTTACAGAACAATAATGCAACAACTTTACAGAACAATAATGCAACAACTTTACCTAGCAGTTTGCGTAATGAAGAAACTACATAATATTTTTAACATTTCTCACTTTAGTGTACTATGCACATGACTACAATATCAATGAATTTTATTTTTAAAATTAAAAATAAAATAACACATCAAAGTCAAAGCAGCGTCAAATTGAAGCACAAGTGAACAGACAAGTCATCAGAACTTTTTCGGCAAAATCATTATAGTTATAAATATGTTTTAAAGACTTTTTCTCTACTCGCATTTTTCCAACATGTGTGTGGAGCATTTTTACACATTTTAAGATTTCTCCTGCAGTGTTCACCTGGTGAACAACTTGAAATTATACTGGGTCAGCCGAGACGGGTTAAAACTGACATTCCAATTATAGTGGTTGACCGCAACTGCTTCATTAAGTGAACGACTGGGTGGTGAGCTCAGATCTACTTTTTAGTTTTATGCCTAGGTAAAGTGTTAAGTCCACTTCACCGGGATTTTGTAAGCATTTGATTTTTTTAAAAGTAAACAATTCTACTTGTGTCCATAATTTAAAGATTACTATTTTAATACTAAGAAGAAGAATATAATTTGTTTAAAATTTAAACTTTAAAAAACAAAAAACTTTCTATCAAAGGCAAATTAACCCGTGATAAAAAGTAGAAAATAATTTACAGTTTCTTAAAATGCATTACACAAAGGAAGTCTGTGCAGAAAATACTTATTTTCAAAATATTGAGCTCAGACTCTGTTCCTCTAATAAGAACTCAACAGAATTTTCACCTATGCTTGCATCCCCAATTTTTTTTTGGTCAGCTCCAAATTATTTTTTTCCGTTCAGCTCCAAAATTGAAGTATAAGCAATTTTGTTTTTTAAAATTTTATTTCATACGATGCAGGGTAATCGCAGAAGAGTATTTAGATTAATTAAATAAGCTCCATGAGAAATTGCATTTGTTGCTGATGGGGAGCGTAAGCGAAAACTAGCTAACCTCCATAACGTTGGCCTTGACACTGGCCATGCACTTGTCACAACAGAGTGTGCGCAATTCACACTGTTTCTCCATATGCTCATCTAGGTCACAGCGGTGTAGAATTGAAGCGCACTTGAACGGACAAGGTACCAGAGCATGGGGACATACCTCTAGATGAACCTGTTGAGAAACATCATTTTTGATAATAATCATTGTTTAAAAATCTACAATAAACGAGAGTATGGCTGGTTAAAATAAAATGTTATCGTTTGATGGTTGATGGCGCATGTAATGATAATTAAATATTTTCGACAGTAATAAAAAATTGGAGTGATAAAAAAAAGCTTGGTGGCCTCAAATTTTGGGGGAAGTGTGTGTGAGTTGTGTGAGTTCTCCCATGGGATGATAGGCTGTACAAGTCTTATTCTGTAACTGACCCATCCCCAGTTATATCGATATGTAAGTTTAGACCAATCAACCCATTTCATAAAAAGTTTTTGTTTTTTTCTCTTCATTTAAGGAGCATTACCATTGGAAATTAAAAAACTACATTCATCATAAAATAAAGAAAGAAATTAAACGTGGGAAAAAAAAATTATTTTAAGAATGGCAACGAAGCAAACTTAAGAATATAATGTATCTATCCGGAGGAATGAGATCAAATATCATGCATACATCATTTGAGTAACCTTAATGAGTATTATTATTTTTTCCTAGCTTGACATTTTTTTTTAAAAATAAGACAAAAAATATCAAGGTCCTTCTCATTTTTTAAAACAAACCTGCAGTTTGCCAAGTGCAATGATTTTATCACAGCCATCCTTCTTGTTGGGACATCTGATGTTAAAGTTAAGAATCTCCCTTTTGGCAAAATTGTCAGGGAACACATCATTCTCTACGAGAGGTTCATTGTCCACAGGACAGCGTGTGCATGAGTCTCTGGTAACATATATGAATATGACATATAATAGTAAATAATTTAAATATTCCTTTCTGAATTTATTTTATCTGTGTTATGTGTGGTGTAGAATTTTTATATTACAGCTTTATGGACTAGTAGCTGCTATGATATGATCATGTCAATCAAGAAGTGTTATCCTTATATTCATTGAGCATTGTTCTTCTTGTTGGTATCAAGTGTGGGCAATAGAATAAGGCGAGGTAATACCCTAGAGTTTCAATAGACAGAGTTCTTCACCTAGACAACATAGAGAGCCTATCAAACATCTCTGCAGTTGACTTACCTACCGCGGGAGGTTTGTTACATTGTGGAAAATACAATTTCCTACAAGTTAAAAAATTAAACTTGAAGAAACAATAAATTATTTTAGTTTTCACCATCCATTAAGTATCCAGCAGTCATAAAAAAGATTTGGGGGAATATGGGTCGTGAGTGCTGTCATTCAGTCAAAGTGTTGACCAATCATTTTCTCCCATGTAACACTGTTATGTACCAGGGAATAACTTAGTACCCAATCAGAGTCTTATCATCTTTCAGCAGACACACTGTTTTCAAAGCTAATATAAGAAGAATAAAAGTTTTCAATATTTTGTCTTGATTTAAATAAAGCACAAATATTTAAGCAAACTAACTCTATCAGAGGTGAAAGCTCTATTGCACGCTCAACATAAAATTCTTACCGCAGCCATCGAAATATGCAGTCCCTGCAGAATCTGTGTCCACACTTGGTCTGCCTGGGCTCTCTGAGTATGAGTAAACATATGGGACATTCGTACCGTTGTTCTACTGGGGGAACAAACTCAAAATCATAGCCTTCCATGGATTGCGAGAAAGAAAATGGATTTTCATTACTGCAGCTGGATGAAGTCCCAGCACTTCTGTAAGACGGAAGTCCCAGACTGCTGGTACTCATTGTTTCTACAATAGATGGAATAATGAGAAATAATTCAACCATTTTTAATATTCCGATAAATGCATCCAGTAATTTTTTTCTTATGTCAAACATTAAAAGTTAAATAACGTTAGTAATCTTTTTCTTTTGAATCTAATTCTGTAGCAAAAAATTACACAAATTGATATATTAATTTTTTTTGTTTAAACTTTCTCCTTTTACACTCCTTCAGATCTTTCTTTACCCTTTACACTCCTTCAGATCTTTCTTTACCCTTTACACTCCTTCAGATCTTTTTTTACCCTTTACACTCCTTCAGATCTTTCTTTACCCTTTACACTCCTTCAGATCTTTCTTTACCCTTTACACTCCTTCAGATCTTTTTTTACCCTTTACACTCCTTCAGATCTTTCTTTACCCTTTACACTGCCTCAGATCTTTTATTTGAATTCTCACAATTTCAGACAAATATTGTGACCCAATACTATTTGTTCCCAAATAATTCATAATTATCACTTAGAGCCCTTGATTCAGTTGATTATTTTTTCAAAATTATTAAATATATTTATTTGTCTAACCCAGAGGTCAACAGCCCACGGTTTAGGAAAGATGTGGCTTTTTTTTTTACTTATCTTTAATGATGTATGGCTGCCAGTTATTTATAACAATGGCTTTCTCTTAACACAAAAAAGGTTGCCGACCCCTGGTCCCACCCAAGAACAGTTATTTAATTTTCTTCTGATCAATATTAGACATGTTTAACATTGCTTAAAAGGGCCTTAGGGGATTAGCTTTATGTTACCACCATTTGAAGCATTTAGGTTAAGCACACCTCTTAAATTTAAAGAAGTTCCAAGAGTCTATTACAATTACTGAATTGTTATTCCACTATTTGACTGGATGCCCACCACCCTAAATATTATCAATAAAAACATGGATAGCTTGGTGCCTCCTCCACAAAATTAAACACATGCTACTCACCTTCTGCTAACTAATTAAGGGATAAGTATGCTATTTCTAAATAAATGTAAATGCTAGATCATTAGGATAAGTAGCCTATTTAGTATACGTCTGCTAAGTATGTATTAGTTCCAATCCCAAAAATTTATTATTTACCTTTATTTTTTACAACCTTGGCCTAAAATTAGCAATTAATATAACTGGTTCAAAAACATTCAGTTTTAAGCAACATTAGTACATGTTGACTATTATTTGTTACTATTGTTGGGGCCTATAAATATATTTAATTAGCAATTCATCATTTATATTTCCATCCACTTCAGATAATAAAATATTTACTCCTGCCCCTGTTCATCAGTGAATGAGTGATGATATATCATAAAATTGCATATTTGTCTTAGTTAGTAGGCTATATCTACTGTATCTCATTTATATTGTAGTCATTAGCTTACACAAAACTGATGACTGATGTTAATTATTCATATTATTAACCACTCGACTGGTCCTAATCCTATTTGGTATGACTATGAATCAGGAAATGAGCGAAACAAAGTATTGGAAAACCTGAAAAAACCTGACTATGAATCAGATTGATTATCGTTTTCAACCTATATGTATAATTGAGTAATCAAAATCAAATTCAATAATTTTGTTTTGTAGGCGTAGCTAGATGTAGATTACTCAGTGGCCTCTTAAGGCAAGGGCACTCTAGCAAGTTGCCCCAGGGCTTCATGCTTCTACTGGGTCTAATGCTTCTTGTGGGTCTAATGCTTCTAGCTAGGGAAACTCACTCTTCTAAGTTGCCCATATTGTTAATGAGTATTTTAAGATCTTTATGAAGTTTAATTTGCTTTAAAAGTGCCATGAGAAGCATATTTCCCAAATTTTAGTGAACAAGTTTTTCAATTTTCAAATAAATTCCATTTTTTGGGTTACTAGTTTAAGAAAAATGTGTCTATTTAAATAAAAATCCAGGAGTATTGGGGATATTAGAATGCATCTAAACATTTTTGGGGCATGGCTCAATGAGCCCTTCCCCCAACCCCATCTCCTATTAATATAAGGAGGCTTTGGCACCCTTCATTTCTGCTCCATCCCCTTTCAAAGTGATAATACCGACACGTTCCCATCTTAAAAAAAAAAGTACCGGTTGTTACCAATTCAAATAATTTATTTACAAACGTATGTATTTCTTTTAGTTTGGTATATATAGACTATATATTTTGACTGTATAGATTCCAGGGGTGAAACTAAACTGTGACCAAAGGCATAAAGGGGTGCCTCAACTGAAATGAATCTATGACTTTGTTTATGGATTGAAAGGGGAGAGGGAGTCAATCAGAGCTGGAACTTGATGACATTAAATTAAAAATGTTGGAGCTTATATTTATATGCCCTTAACCCCCTTACAAAAGTCAAAAGCCCCCCCCCCCCCCTTTTTTTTGCCCCTTACCCCCCCCCAAAAGTCAAAAACCCCCCCCCCCCCCCCAACCACAACCTTTTTTTTTTAAAAATGAAATTGTCTTTGTGAAAGAACACTGGTCATAACACATGATGAGCCAACCTAGACCTAAACAGATTTTCTAACATTATTTGAATAGGTTAGATTGGACCAGGGGGGCATTGGTGCATTACTTTACTCAGCCCCACTCCCCTCAATTGTTGCTCTTAATTCTTAAGTCGGCCCTGACATGACTCATACTGAATATCACTCAAGACTCATTCAATCCAAAGTCAAACGAAAATAGTCACCAGTATTAGTACTGGTAAAACCTCCTCAGTACCTTTCTAAACTTTCTGTCTGAAGTGACCACTACATGACTTAACAGTAAACACAGCCGTCGGTCAGTTTAAGTGTAATCATAGTCACTGACACTGACTGTCGACAGACAACGCACTCAATCAACGGTTTACTAGTAAGCTAAATACTAAATACCTAAACTAAATAAAGTTTATTTTTTTATAAATTTTTATTTGAATTAATTATATTAGTATAACACTGACACTGTCTGAATTCTAGAAGAACAATCATTGGCCTAAAAATTAAAAAAAAAATTAAAAAACATTAATAATCTGTTTTGTATGCCTCATTTGTTATTTTGTAATTATTAATTAAAATTAGTTGTTTTTTTGTTTTTTTACTTTTAACGTCCCTATTAATTATACTATTTACTAAATTAAAAAAAACAACACTTTTATACAGAGACAAAAAGCTAGAGAACTTAAAATCCCATTTTAGCATTAATTTGGATTTAGTATACTTAATATAGTTACAAATCAACAACAATAGTTTGAAATGTAAAAAATCCCTGTCTCGGAAAACGTAAATTGACGCACTATTCTACTATTCTATTTTTCTAACCTATTGTCACTATTGTCAGTATTGTCATTGCCAGTATTGTCTTGAACATACTACTAAAACCAAATGATAGTATTAATACTGACAAGTGTCAGTACATTTCCAGTGGGTAAAATAAATATTGACTCACCGTTGGGAAAATGTTAGCCATATTGCATCCTTGTTGATATTGACAAGTGGAACGCTGCCATAAAAAAAGCACCAAAGACTTAAGAAAACTAGGCTACATACATATTGGCTTAACGTTACGGTACAGTTGTGGTAGTTTTAGTTGTCCAGTCAATATTAGGGAGTACGCTAGAGACGCTACTTTGAAATATATAAAGTCGTTCTAATTAATAAAACACTATTTTATTCTGCTCAAAATCGTGGTTAAATTATTTCTATCCCAGAAGACACGCATGGCCATGGTCGTCATGGAATAATTCACATAGAAGTATAATGTCATTAATGTTGCTTCAATACAAGAAGAAGTAGGCCTATGTCGCTATCTAGACTCGACAAGGCTAAATTTAACCTGGGATTTCCTGACACTTAGACATACCCTGCCCAGCCCCTTTTCTGGGTAGCCAGGTTGTCAGAATGACACTGAGTTAGTTGGTCGCTGTGCTTGTCGTTGTTATTGTAGTTGTAGGTGTAGTATTATTAGTAGGGCCTCCTACCAGAGATGTATATGGGCTTAGATAGGGAGGGTTATGCATTGAAATTCTGTTAAAAAGTCGCCGATCCGTTAACTATTGCAACCCAGCTCACAATTTAACAAAATTTGTTGTTTTCCCTCTAACTAGTACTATAGTCTACTGTACTATACTAGTAAACTAATATGATAGAGCAGGGGTGGGAAAACTACGTCCCGCGGGCCGCATGCGACCCGGCAGCTGATATTATTTTACTTTAGCAATTTAAATAGTTTACATGTTTTTATTGTAAAGCGCTTAGAGCTGTAAGGTAAGCGCTATATAAAAATCCCTAAATAAATAAATATTAAGCGGCACTTGAAGGCATTTAGTGAAATTTTAAAAATTACTTTGTTTTTAAGTTATTTTGTTGAATTTTACAGAATATCATGTACCGTTATGATTGTTTTAACATTGTTTATCAAATTTTTTTATAATATTTTCATTTAAAAAAAAAAAAAAAAACAGTCCTTGACTTTTGGGGATCGTCCATTAATTAAGTCAACAATTTTTAAGCAATTGTTCACCCACTCCCCCCTGCCCCTTGTCAACAACTGTCAAATTTTTAATGATCCCCCCTATTTAATTATGTCAACATTCTCTACCCCCCCCCCAATGAATTATATTATAAATAAATGTATAATTACATTTTAATTTGTGCTTATCTATTTTAATGTCAATAATATTGTAGGGAAAAAAATTCATTACATCTTTACCGTGTTAATAAACAAGTTAAAAAGTTTTTTCAATTAAATTTTTATAATGCAGAATCAATTGGAAGGCTCTTAAAGACTAAATATCATATTTGTGGTATAAATATGATTATTGCCAGTAAAGCTGACAATTAGGCCTATAGTATCGAGGAGTAGCCAGATTTGCTCTATCGTAACAATGGGCATCAGGGACATCATTTGGGTAGGGCAGGGGGGCATTTGCCCTCACCCCCTAATTTGCAGGTTTTATTTAAATTCCTATGTACAGAAGCGCCTCCAAAATTAACAACTTAAACCAAGTTTTGGTTTTGCCCCCCCCCCCTGAAAAAAAAAATAAAATGACGCCCCTGATGGGGATAGTCTATCGTAGCTGATTGATCATTTTCATCTTGCGGCATTGATATACCAGACAAGTCAACATCATCCTCATCTAACCGTTCAGGAACTTAAAATAGAAGCATTATCGGTGTGAGCAATAATTGCCCTAAGCTTTCTCTATCTCCTTGCAGCTACTCGCATTGGTCGAATCCTTTTTTTTGTTGAGTAGCAGGTGGTAATTTCTTCTGCTCAAGAGGGCATTGTCGGTGCCTGTTGAACATGCTTTTTCAACATGACTTGTGATGCAAAATAGATGTTCCAGATTTTGCAAATCCGTTCAAGCAGCGATGTTATTATTGTTACTCACTTTACTTTCCCTTAATTCTCAAAATATCGTATTCCTACTCTATCAATACCATTTTTATCTTGACTGCACGACACTAGAACCTTGTCCTTGTTCCATACCTGCAACAGAATCTAAAGGTAAAGAGAGGTCTACTTTTGACTTCTCGTGCACTAACAAAGTGTGCTAACATTCTGACCAGCCATCTGCAGTGCACAGACACACATTAAATAAATCTTATATTGTCAAAAGCCTAAAAATTATTTGACTATTTACACTCATTTACACTGAAACATTTTTTAAAGTAATGTAATAACCAGTCAATTTTTAAGATTAAAATTTTAATAGAGTAAACATGATTGTTGACGTCAACTAATCTAACCCCCCTCCTCCCGCTTGTCAACAACTGTCAAACATTTCCAAACCCCCTCCCACCCCCTATTTTGTTAACGTAATTAATGGACACCCCCTTGTCATGTAATGCTAAAATGCGAATTTACATATTTTAATATAGAGAATTGTCTATCGACATTCAAAAATTGGACAAAATATACCTGCCCCCCCCCCCCCCAATAGCTTTACATGTGTCAATGTGGCCCTAAGCACAAAAATTTGCCCACCCTTTCTATAGAGCAATAGAACTCCGTTACAACAAGATAATGCATGATTTCTGACCAGGGATTTGGAGCTCAGCTCCAACAGTTTTTAATAAATTAATTTTTAATTATTATTTTTTAAAATAATTTTATGATAATAATTTGTACAGTTCAAATTATTTTTTAAAATAATTTATTAAAATTGATGCCATATTCTTCTACCATCTATGTTCCCCCACCATTCTACCAGCTATGTTGCCCCATGTTTCTACCAGCTATGTTGTCCCACTTTCTAGAGCTATTTTGTCCAAATGTTCCCCACTCATCTTCTACCAGCTATTTTGCCCCTCTCTTCTACATTTGTTGATACATGCATATCTAGTGCTTAGTTAATAATTTGGGTAAGTGATAATAATAAAAACACTTATTTTAACACTTGGCAACTACCTCATCCTCTATTTTAATTTTAAGGGTTGTTTAATTTTGCTGGTGCTGGAGCTGACAAATATTTTCCCGGACTGGAGCTCGCTCCAACCCCCCCTCCCCCCCAAAAAAAACACAAAAAAAACGCCTACCCAAAATCCCTGTTGCGGATATTTGATATTAATTAAGATCAAAGGTCAAAACTGGGCTGAGTGGCAGGGTTGCCAGACGTCCATTAAATTTACAGACATTCATAAAAGTTTGACCTAACATGACCTATCGGCGGGACGAACTTTACGATGTCCATATATATCGTGTATAGGCCTATATATATATATATATATATATATATATATATATATGATTTTTAAAAAAAAAAGATAATGCACACAATTTTTTGAAGCGAAACAAATTGGGAAATTTTTTTTTTTTTTTTTTTTTGTTTTTTTTTTTTTTTTTTTTTTTTTTTTTTTTTTGTTTTTTTTTTTTGTTTTTTTTTTTTGGTTTTTTTTGTTTTTAGCTTTGTAGCATTTTTTGTCACACGCGACCCAGGCGCTCCATTGATCGTGATTGATCGCGTCTTCTTCTTCGTTCAAAGTACGTCAGGCGAAGAGTTGGTAGAGGAGCTCAGATGAGAGATGTAGGATTTTGGGGACGAGTGGAACGGAAGGGGTTAGGGCAGTGGCGCAGAAGGGAGGGGGGGGGGCGGTCCGCTCCGAGCGGCACTTTTGTCTTTATATCGATAGGGCGGCATTTTCGGCCAACTGCAGGAAGGGACGGCAAAACTATCAGCCCACTCCGGGCCACTGGGTAAGGGGCAGGGCATACGGCAACTAGACACCGAACAACGGATGGCTCGCGCTTCGGGCTACAAAACGCATCATCATTATTTTTTCATGCAAAATATGTGAAGTCATTCATTTTAATACTTTTTTTTTGGGAAGAAGGCGCCTAGTGCACAGTTCACACGATCAAATAGTCGTCAAATTTCTTTTTGAACGCACTATGTTGCAACACAAAATAATGCGTTCAAAAAGAAATCTGACGCAAATTTGATCGTGTGAACTGTGCATATATTCAGAATTAGGTCCCGGTGCATTTGTTTGCCACGGATCTATATAGGGTGGAGTGGGAGTTTGAAAAAGTTTGACAATTATTGAAAAGGGGCTGGTGGTGAGGTCAAGCTAATTTAAAATCAACAAAACTATACATGTATTTCTAATATATATATATATATATATATATATATATATATATATATATATATATATATATATATATATATATATATATATANNCCCCCCCCCCCCCCCGGATTGATTGGATAAAAAATTTTAGACAAAAATAGACAAAAAATGTATAATAGTAAAGAGAAAATAAAGAGAAAGTAACTAAGCAGATGTCCTGTCCGTTCTATCACTATACAAAAACGCTACGGTAAATTAAAACTATATTAAAACATTACTTTAAAAAATCCCCCCCCCCTGGAAAGTTAATCGATTTTTTTTGCCCCTCCCCCCTAGAAAGTTTTCTGCGAGCGCCCATGGTTTCCAACTTTAATTTTTTTTTAAGTTTTAAAAATAATAATACCGGTAACATTTTGTTATCCCTACTATTTCATTATTTAAAGCATTTAAATGGAGAATTTTTAAATTTTGTGTTTTAAGTATTGATCATTCTTGCTCCTGTAGGTCCGAAAAAAGTTGCTCCACATAGTCTTGTCAAGAAGTGACACACTGCAACACGATTGAGATTGAGCTTGTCGTGAGTGAAAAAGTTCCGCTTCTAAACAGTCCAAGAAACTTTCGGATCCAACAATATCCAACTATCCAGGAATATGATTTGAAGAAAACATTTAAAAAATGAGAAAATGTGCGAGAAATTTCACTTCTGTTCATTAAAAAAAAAAAAAGAAAGTGAATTTAAGTGTTAAAGAACAAATTTTTTAATTTTCAAAACGTTCTGTATAGGGCCTAATATAATTATGAAATTGGTGAATGCTTGGGGACAATTTTGAAATAAAAGAAACATTTTTATAACTCTAGTTCTTTCTCCTATATATGCGCGTGTTTGTGTGTATGTGTGTGTGTGTTTTTTTTAACATGGTCATTGTAGAATGACACCAAGAAGAAGGCCCACTAAAGAAGTTTCATCCACATACTTCCGCTCTAAGAATATACCGCGGTGCCATGTTGCCTACTGTTTGCTCTGCAAGTTTGGATCTATCTAAAACGAGACGACTTTGGTATAGGCGCTCTCTGATGCTCCCCCTCTCCCCCCCCCCTAAAATGGTTCCCTAGCACGTGCTACAACCGGGTAATACTTGTGGGTAACATAAGTGGTACCATGTGTAGCAACCAGGGTTTCTTTCAGCTATATATCGGGGGGGGGGGCACTGCCACCCCGGGGAACGCCAAGTGCCCCCCCCCCCGACAAAAAATATGTCCGAAATAAATCAACTGGTGGCACTGCCCCCTCCCGAAAAATCTGAAGTGCCCCTCTCCCCCCCCCCCCACCCCCCGGGGAAATTTCTGAAATCTTCACTAGTAGCAACGGTTCACAGCTGTGGGTACGTCCATGTTCAAGGGGATTTTTTTCGGGGTGGGTGCAAAAACAGTTCAGTATTTATATAATTATATGCATTTATTTGTGTCCTTGGGATTTTATTTACAACTTACGCGTGTGTGTGTGTGGGGGAGGGGGTTTGCTTACATTAAAAAAAAACAAAAACAAAAAAAAAAAACACTGGCGCATTAATATAAAGTTTAGAAGCCACTTCGCTCAAACAAAAACCCAAGACGATGTTCAAAAATAAAAATTTCACTCAAGGATTCAACAGCTATTCATACCGCAAAATTATTCGACGAGAAACTTAGACTTAGGCTACAGACTAATCATATGTTACGGAACAACGAAAATCTCAAGCAAAGATTTTTTAAGATTAAAATAAAATTTACGTTGAATGAAAAAAAAACAAAAAACATTTCTATGGATCAATAAAAGTATCTTATCTTAGCTTATCTTATGTTATAAAAATCATGGCGGCTTCCACGGCTAGAGAACCACTGCTTACGTTAAAACGAAGTTATGAGAAAACATAAAAGACAGATGTTAATAATTTCTTATCCGTAATCAGAAAGAAAAGAAAACTCTGCATACATATGTTAAATATTCACTGAGACTTGGGGAGAACGGGATAATCTAAAAGATGTAAAAAAAAATTTTTTTAAAAATAAGTCTGAATAGACTTGCTTGAGAAAATTAAAAAATGTTTGGGCATGTGGCCAGTAGGCCCTATAATAAATATGGGAATTTCAAAACTCTTGAACGAATGGTCATTTCTTAATATATTGTAACATTCATTAAACGATTTTAAAATAAATAAATTAATATGTCATTTAAAAGGCATAGGCGGATGGCATAAGGACTATCCTCCGCGTCAACTTATTACAAATTGAAATATCTTAAAGTTGACAAGTTAAATTAATGATTAATGCGTTGTGCATAGTTTCATTTCCGTAGACTAGATCTTTGGGAACCTATAAATAAATATTTCAATATTGTTGGGTAATTAGAGTGGAAATAAAATATATTGTACGACAGTCTACAGTCTAAGGACTGCAAACATTCAATCGACACAATCAGTCAAGAATTTGCAACACAATACCATTGCCATTGAATTTTAAAATGAAATATTCGCCGCATTCATTCAACAATTAATACGCACGTCATCACCCTCAGCAAGTAAAATCCAATAGGCTATTTTATTATGTCATGTATCATGTGTGATTGTTAGTTGGTATGAGTACCGTATGAGTTAACATTGCGATCGCAAATTGAAATCAGCTGTTCGTCATAGTTCATTCACAGTCATAGTTAGAATAAATGTCCACATTGCTGACATCAGTAATAGCACAACGATTCACAAGCCATTCCGTACACTCTACTTAATCATTTTTAATATAAAAAATGCATTTTCATAAATAATTTTTAATCACATATAAAGAGCATGAGCATAAACTGCACTGATGGTGGTTTTAATAAGGGTAGATAAAAGTTCGTACAAATTTAAGGTCAAGGATAGATAAAATATTGCAGTATATAAATGACCTTCACCTCCTGACCCAATGACAGTAAGACCGCAACATGGCGCTCCAAAGGAGGAGAAACAGCTTTTATCGTACTTTGAAAAATGTTGAGCCCGACTTGGACGATTTGGTGCTTGACAGAGGGGCCGCTGCGACTGCACAGAATAAATGGTTGTTTGAAATTGCCTGGGAGGTAGCCAATAAAGGTAAATAAAATGTTAATGTTGCAAACAATACAAAACATGAACCCTGTCACCGTCAGTCCTAACTCACTAACTCCAAAGCCAATGTATTGTACTGTAACGCTAGTCCTCATATATGATAATAATATAAGTACTCTTACTCTTGTTCTTTAATATTACTTAGTCTTCAATTTTAGATTATGCCTTACTATATAGATAGTATATTATTATAATTATTATTTATTATACTTGACTTATAATTATAATTATATATACAGTATAATGCAGTGCAGTATTTCATTTAAATTTAAATATATTAATAATTAGTTTAATTAACAATTATTACTAACTAAATGACTATTAAATTGTAGGTACTTACGTTTAAAAAATAATTATAAATAATTATAAATGTATTAAAGTTGTATAGAGTAATAATAGAGCAAACTTCAAATGAAACAAGAATCAACTCTCTAGCTTTAGTCTTTAGTGCTTTTTGATCTAAATTTCTAAATCTATGAAATTTTTATAATTATAATGTGAGTTTGTTTGTTATTTTTTATGACTAGGCCTATAGCCCTATGCCCTATGGGCTGCACCCCCACATTTTGGGACCCAATTCCGCTGACTTTGTCACGCGCTTTACTCTCCTAATTATGATTTTATACAGCTTTTATAATTATGTTATTTATATTATTAATATGGACTCTACAGGTTTTTAAATTAAATTATTCTTGTTTAAATGCCTTCTAATTTCACTCTAAAATACAAGTTATCAAATATCTTGATGTGAATAGGGGTAATAAAAGAATATTTCATAAGTATTGGCATCTTTCGCCATAAAAATGAAAAATGGGGGGGGGGGGGGGGGGGGGGGCGTGGTCGATATGGGGCAAGGTGACCTTATTGTAATGCAGATTACTTAGATGAAAACTAATGGCTGACATGTCCTTGCTCAGTGAGAATCAGCACATTTATAGATCAATATGAAAAGGAGAGAAAGAAATAATATGAAAAACATATATTTTGAACATCTTACCGAATTTTGTAGGGAAAGATGCCTTATATATACAGTACCTATGAATTTCTAATATTGAGGTTGATAGAAAAGGTAAAAAAATTATGCTGGAAATCTAGGTCAAGATGTCCACTACTGTAAAAGTATGGATGAATACCACAAATTTATGAACAAATGTCCTCTCATCAATGAAAAAGCACCAACATCCAAAATGTAAAAAAATCTGATTCTTCTGAGCTTAGGGTTTTGCCAAGGGTTGTCTTACCCTAAGTGCAGTGATGTCACTTTGGAGAATCCCAACACTGGACTTTGGGTGACAGGACCAACAGTTGGACCTAAACGATGAGAATGATAACTTTCCGTTTTTTCACTTAGCGTTATTCGCATCAAAAACATAACCTGATGATCGATAACAGTTAATATGAAGTAATTTAAAATGAAATTTTCCATTCAGTTTTTATTAAAATTAAAAAAAAAAAAAAATCATCCTTGCTGATACTCGAAGATGAACATGGGAAAAAGATGTGTACATGGTTAAAAGTGCTATATTTTTTTATTGGTTTAAAACAAAATACTTGTATGCAACTCATTTATATAATTATAATGTCACAATTTAATGGGATATTTCAACATAATTTTCTGGGGTAGGGATACTCCTAATCCCAATTTCAATTAAAAAATAAGAAAAAAAAAAATTCCTGGGTAGGGGCCTACTTTCAAACCATCTCAGTACTTCCCAAAGTCAAAAATTAAAAAATGAGAAGAAAAAAAAGTATCAAATAAATACAGAGCTAAATTTTGAAATATTTTGAGAAACGAAACTATGGGCGATATTTGAGCTGGGGAACTTCAAGTGGAAGACATTGATAGCCCTGCCGCTAACTGCATTTTAGCCATACTTTTAAATACATTGCGAACTAAATCATTTTTAACAATTGATAAATTGTATTACTAAATTAATTAAATCAGTGTTATTTCTCAACAAAAGTGACAAAGTAGGCATACTTTTTAGGTTACAGTTAGGTCTATAATTTAGACCTATGACATGAGTGAGATGATAAAACAGTTCTACGAATTAGTTAGCTGACTACTCTAAGTAAGTCTTATCTCTTATGAATTCCAATTAATTATAATTTCATATGGATCTAAAAAAAGTGAATTCTAAAATTATGATGTAAAAATTAAAAAAGAAATGAATATGCCTAGCCTAGACCTAGGCCTATTAATTAATTAAAATAAATTATTGCTGACCCTTGCAAAGTTCAAGTTATTGAATTAGTGAATTGGTAAAAGTCTACTGACATATTTTGTTAATAAATAATTCTGTTACCCTAATCCCTATCATGAAACTAATAAAATTAGACCTACTTTCAAATCATCTCAGTGTTATCTTCCCAATGTCAGTCTGGTTGCCATTAGAAAAGTTTATTAGTTGATTTTCATTTTGAAAGCAAATTGTAGACACTTGAAAAAATTGAACAAGCACATGAACAGAAAGAGTAAACTGCTAATAAAACGTCACACACTTTTTTTAAAACAGATGTTACAGAAGACATACATAGTTTAGATTTAGTTTCATGGATATTGACTGTTAACATCCAAAATATTTTCTAAAAATTTTGTAAAGCGGTGTGCAAAGTTAAAAATAAAAAAGGTCAACACAGTATGTTATCTTTTAAGTTTAAGAAAATAGTTAACACTTTAATTTTAAAATTAGATTTGATCCATACATTTATTTAGAAATTTAGATTTCATTTGTACTTGTGAACTAACCTCCCATGAAAATTACCAACCATAATAAATTCCATTGCAGTATGTTTTCCAATTTGTTAGTTAAGTATTTTTAGAGTATATTAACATTCCAGAACAGCAATTCATATTCATTATTAAAAATTGCAGTTGGTGGTATCTATACTGTCATCAAAACAAAAGCACCAGTAACAGTGGAAGAATGGGGGGAACAGTACTGCCTGATAGGGCCCTATAATGAAGCCTGTGTGCGTACAGAGGTTGAGATTTTAGAACCCCATCACCATGTGTATCGAGAAACTATTGGAAATATGAGAAAGGCTGGCATCAAGGTAATTCTTTACGAATGTCTTCAGGATCAGTGTTTTACAAAGTTGTCTGCTCAGACCGGCACAGTTTCGTGAGCCTGCTGATGCTCGTCCGCACAACATTAATATTTATTGTAAAATAAAGAGGAATGTGTCCAAAGGCGTGCCAAACTTCTAGACTGCAGCAATATAATTAATTTTAAATGCCATGGGCTTGTTAAAACTTTTTTTAAAAATAATTTTTTACAAACTTAATACAGTGGTACCTCGATACGAATTTTAATTCTAAAATTCGTTCCGTAATCTTGCACGTAAGTCAATTTGCTCATATCGCAAAGAAATTTTCCCCATTGAAATTAATAGAAATGCCATTAATCCGTTCCAGCCACGAAAATGCCACCTCAGTTGTTTTTGTTACGTGTTTTTGAATTAGAAAAATGTTTTTATAGATGACAAATATTGTATAAAAACATAATAAAAGAGAATGTAAAGAAATAAACTGGTTTTATAAAGTGTATTTACCTTGGAAATCAGCTGACTTGAGCTTACAGAAGGTGCTGGTGGAGGAGATAGGCAAAGGAACTTCACTTCATTCACTTGCTGGCTACACTGTTAATGCTAAACTCTTTCGGTCACTTTAATTCACTTACTTGTTAAAATCTTTATGCTACACTTTATCCATAAAATTAATGGAACTTAACCAAACTTCAATGCCACTGTACAATTTTTTAAACCTTTCGCTAAATTTTCATCACTGCAGCCGGCTGACCGGGTTCCTCGTATCTTAAATATTTCTTGTATCTCAAAGCAAAACATTGCTTGCTCGATGGCTCATATCTCAAAAATCTTGTATGTCAGGGCACTCGTATGTCGAGGTACCACTGTACTTGTTTTATTTCTTAATCTATCATAAATGTCTCAGTGGATAAATTTGGGCTTTATAGTTGTTAAACGTATACACTTTACCAAGATTTAACTGTATAAAAAGTAGGTATTGATATATAATGTAGGTATTCATATATAAAGTAAGTATTCAGTTTTTGGATTCAATGTATTTTATTTGAACTGTTTCCATTAAGGTATATTTCGGTCGTTGGCTGATTGATGGCTACCCCAAAGTAGTTCTGTTTGACATTGGTTCTGCTGCTTGGAAACTAGATGAGTTCAAGCATGAGCTTTGGGAGACAGCTAACATCGGTGTCCCTTGGCATGATAGGGAATCCAACGATGCTGTTATATTTGGGGCATTAGTGGCATGGTTCCTCGGAGATGTAAGTATATATATCATTCAATAAATAAAAAAAAACAATTTATAAAAATGGGATAATGAAAAAATAATCCTCCTTAATTAAATTTTTAATGTTATACCTTTTTTCATAAAAGTAGTTTAAGCATGCAGAATTGCAACTTGATGTCATATCTGAAGTTAATTTTATTTTTATTTGATAAAGGGATTCAAAATTTATAATTCATATAAGTAGAGATAGACTGATGTACTAAAAGAGCTTGGGATTTGTTTGGACCTAATATCAAATTGTGGGAGACTGATGTACTAATAGAGCTTAGGATTTGTTTTGACTTAATATAATATCAAATTGTGGGATATGGGTTAACTTATAACTGTCCAGCACCCACGAAAAAAAATCCATATCACCCCAAACCTAAGGGGAATAGCAATTTATTACTTATTTCTAAAATGTTCTTGATTTAAATTGTTTGAAGTAAATTCCAAAACATCAAACCTCAAAGAAAAATGAATTTTATGGCAATATTTGTTTGTGTCTATTTACTAAGTTATAAACTACCAGAAAAGTAAATGTATGCCGAAGAATATGAAAGAAATGATTTCAGCTAACAATTTTGTATAATTTATGTGAAGATTCAAACTAAGTCAAGTTTTTCAATATTTCAGATGTTCCCATATTTACTCCATATGAATAACATGTTTATGGTTAAAAAAGTTCAATTTCATTGCATATAAAGTTAGCCATATGAGACAGAAGGTCATCAGCAAGCAGTGCTGGGAAAAGTGTACATGCGAGGGGGGGGGGGTGTTGATGGAAATTGTAGTTAGTGGTTGTGTTTTAACAAAAAAAGAAGTTTTTAAAATGATTATTACACTTCCAGTTTATTAAAAACACCCACGGTGATCCAATGGTGACAGCCCATTTCCATGAATGGCTTGCTGGAGCTGGTTTAATTTACACAAGAACTCGTAAAATTAATGCAGCCCTCATCTTCACAACACATGCAACACTCCTCGGTAGATACTTGTGTGCTGGCAGTGCAGATTTTTACAATAATCTCGACAAGGTGAGCTCTTATTTTTTTCATATACTGGTTCTCATAGCTCAAAACATTTATTATAGCATGTCATTAAGTTCACCATTTTGATTTTTAAAAGGATAGAGTTGACAAGAATACTTTCAGATAAATCAACTGATTCTAAAAAAGATGACTTTTGTGTCATTAATACAAAAAAGCAGATTTCAAATTTAAATTAGCAACACTAAATGGTCATTATGTTTTATTAAAGTTAATTTCTTTTAATCTTTAATATTATTGCTAAAATGCTAATTAAAGATTTGTGTATCTGTTAGCCCTGAGTTGATGTTAAAGCGTAATAATTCATTTACTAACTCTGTGTACCGGTAACAGTTTAACCTGGACAAAGAAGCTGGTGATCGCCAAATCTATCATCGTTACTGTATGGAGCGAGCAGCTGTTCATTGCTCTCACACTTTCACCACAGTCTCAGAAATAACTGGAGTAGAAGCTGAACATCTACTGAAAAGAAAACCAGGTAAGGATTCCAATAAGAACTATTTATTTCATACTTCATTTTGATTTAATTTTTTTTTAAAGTTAGTTTTCATATTTTTCAAGGACTTTCAACTGAATTCTGGTAATAAAATTTGCAATTTAATTTTATCATTTCTGTATATATTTTTGTCTTGAAAAGGGAATAATGTTAAAAGCCATACTGCCATCAAAGAATTCATTTTTGTTTAAAAATAAGAATTTCTTTGATAATTTTTTTTGGATATAATTTAACTAGTTACATTTTTAATGACAGAACTTAATGATTGATAATGGCAAACTTTCCAATCATGACATAGCATTCAGTATGATAATTATGTTTTATAGTTGTTTTGATGATATTCATGAATCTTGATTTATTGATTTTTTAATGTTTTTTTTAGATGTCATCACACCAAATGGTCTAAATGTAGTGAAATTCAGTGCATTACATGAGTTCCAAAATTTGCATGCCATTAATAAAGAAAAAATCAATGACTTTGTTAGAGGACACTTTTATGGGTAAGTTATTAAAATGTGCTGTGAGACTAATTCTGTTAATAAAAAATATTTTTTTGATTGATAAAAAACTTAATTGATCATATTATCTACTCAATCATGCAAGGCCCTAGACATTGTGGCTTTGATCTGGCAAAGGGGATAAGATATAACTTATATTATAAGCAGCAAACACCCCCCCCCCACCCCCAATAAAGACAAGTTAAAGATTTTAGAGTGAAGGTCAAAGGTAAAGATTTCAGTTATTTGTTTATTTGCTGTCATTGCTTTAATTTATGTGAATTTCTTTGTGGTTTACACTTTGTACTATCCTTGTGCTATCTTGTTTCTATCCTGATGCTATCCTGTTAATGTCCTGGTGCTATCCTGGTAGTTCCTTTACAACTAATTCAAATATTAATCTTGATCTTAATTTACTCAATTGGTGTTGAAAGTATTTTATGAAATGCATTTTTATACTTACTTATGGTTTATGTCACACCTAAAATGCAATTTACATTTTACACTCTATGGGGTTTAACAACTTATAGTGGTATTATTGAAATGCATTACCATTTATGATATACAAGTTTAACTGATCTACTTTCCTCCTTTCAGACACTATGATTTTGATTTAGACAAAACTCTGTACCTCTTTACAGCAGGTCGTTATGAGTTTTCTAACAAAGGAGCAGACATGTTTATAGAAGCCTTAGCAAGGCTTAACTATTACCTTAAGGTAATTAGCCTTTAGTTAATTTAAAGTGTTTAAGATGTAAATACTGCGGAGTGTTTTAGCAGAAAGATCTTTAAAACCAGAAATTTGACATTCTGTTTTTCTGACCGCAGGTACATTAAACTTGGGTTGTAGTAAAGGAATTCTTTCATGTTTCTTTGTTTATAAAAGTGTTGCTAGAGAATTATTTTATGCATTATTGTAAACTGATTTTTTCAATATAAAACTTGAATAGTATAAATCAACATAAATTGATTATAAATAACTGCATTACAAAATTATTGGAAGCTATTTTTTGTAAATACTATTTTTTTGTATACATTTTTTTAAGAACGGGGAACTTTTAACAGTTTAATATTGTAAAATATTTGACCATTGTATGAACTTAAAACCAATATTCATAGCTTAAAATTTTTCCATGCAGTCGTGTAATAGTGATGTGACCATTGTGGCGTTCCTCATCTTTCCGGCCAGGACTAATAATTTCAATGTGGAATCGCTCAGGGGTCAGGCCATTGCTAAGCAACTTAAAGACACTGTCAACAATGTACAAAACCAGATCGGACGGAGACTTTTTGATATTTGTTTGAGGTCAGCTATTTACGATGAAGTGTTACAAAAATAATATATTCACTGCCCAAAGCAAACTGTAAAAAGACTTATCTTCAAGAAAAAGAGTCTAAGTTTTCTTAGTAACATCATTATTAATGTTGCTAATGAAAAGTCATGTAACAAATCAATAGTATCACTATGGACAGCTTTAATAATGAAAATATTGATTAATTGCTTATGAGTAATTTATGTAATAGTATTAGTAGGAAGAAAGTTTTTTAAAGATTTTTCTTAATAGGACATGTTAAATATATTAAATTAAATTGATCAAATCCCCTAAAATGTGATGTGCTTATCAGGGGAAGCCTACCAAGTGGTGATGATATCCTTGTTCAAGATGATATTGTGAAACTCAAGAGATGCATTTACGCTGCCCAAGTATGTTATAAAACTAATTAGATTAAATGCAGCATCAATTTTTAGCAACTAATTCAATAATTACTAACTTGTGTTAAGATTTTAAAAAATTTTGCTTATTTCTAGCTCTGGGTAAATTATGGTTTCCCATTTCATGATTTAAAAAATGTGGCTTTTACTTTTTATTTTTAATGTATTTAAAATATATAGCTTAATGTTATTTCAGTGTATTTTTAAAAACAAATTAACCTTTGAAGTAAAATAAAACTACAGTTCTTTTTGTCATGAACAGAGAAACAGTCTTCCTCCCATCTGCACACATAATGTAGTAGATGATTCAAATGATCAGGTCCTTAACCAGATTAGACGGTGTAATCTTTTCAACAATCGCCATGACAGAGTCAAAGTAAGAGGTTTCAGAATTTTAACATTTTTATGTCCATTTAATTAACCTTAATAATATAGTTGCTAGGTTTGCTGAATTAAAGACTCTTTAAAAACTATGACTTAATCTATTTTTTAAATTAGCATTTTTACCATTTTATTTTGGAACAGTGGACACTGATAATTTATTATTTAAACAATGTTATAAATCCTATTTGTCAATTGTAGTAGCCTCTGATTGTCAGTTAACTAACTTGTTTGAAGTCAGATTATTTGACCGTAAAAGAAATCAATTTTCCCCTTTTTATTGCTTATTTCCTTTTACCCAACATGATCGCAGTCCCCCCCCCCCAATACATTACAACAACAAGGAGTTACATTTAAAATTAATATGTTATCATTATTTTTAGATTGTTTTCCATCCAGAGTTCTACCCCCTTTTATTTCTTATTTCCCTTTAACCAACATGATCGCAGTCCCCCCCCCCCCCAATACATTACAACAACAAGGAGTTACATTTAAAATTAATATGTTATCATTATTTTTAGATTGTTTTCCATCCAGAGTTCTTAAACTCTACCAATCCACTGTTTGCATTGGATTACGAAGACTTTGTGAGAGGCTGCCACCTTGGAGTCTTCCCTAGCTACTATGAGCCATGGGGCTACACACCAGGTACTTCAGCATGACATTGACATTGGTGACACAATCATTGGCTTGTAAGGCTTAACCAGTGCACATTTATTTGCGTTTTTTTATAACAAGAGACTACAGCAAAAATTAAGAATCAACATTTTGTCGTTACTCATTTCATATCTCTCATTCTGTTAGCCAAAGATAGAAAATGGTTTAAAACGGTTATACATTTTTTTTATTCCCTGCTGCCTTAAAAGTCTGATTATATTTTTCTGCAATAATTTCTTTACAGTTAAGATTTCAAATGCCCTCTTTCGGTATTTGATTGTAAAATCCTGATAATCTTTATGTCGCAATCTTTTTGTTTTAACGCTATCTTTTTGACCCTTAGATATTACAGGGACCTTCACAAGTCTTATTTGTTAAAATCAAGCATTTTAATGCTGTTTATCTTGATTAGTACTCAATTGCTTTTTTTCAGCTGAGTGCACTGTGATGGGTATTCCTAGCATAACAACAAATCTATCTGGGTTTGGCTGCTTCATGCAGGACCATATTGTTGATCCTAAGTCTTATGGAATATACATTGTAGACCGAAGGTATAAAAGCCCAGAGGATTCTGTACGAGAACTAGCACAGGTAAAATGGTCCGTTCAAAATGATTGAGATTTTTATTCAAATAATTCTGTGTGCTTAAAAATTGCTATTTTAATTTTAATGTTGATTGTAAATATTACTCGATGCATTGACGCCAATCCCCCTTAGTATATTTAGCTTTATTATAATACATTAAATATATCCAAACAATATAAATCATATAAATAGGATTATTGAATGACATGTTTCTGGCTCACTCTGTTTTACCACCATTTATTTAGACTACTGGCATTCCATAGTGTAACTATACCTAGCACCTAAGGCACCAGAGCCACTTTCAGAGCCTGCTGGTGCTGATAATCAAGTGAAGATGGAATGAATGATTGATAATAGCACGATTTGTAGTTTTTTAAATTTGCGAAAACTTACAGAAATGGGTACATGAATATATTTATTGTCATATGTAACTCTTTAAGTGAATAAACTTGATTTTAATAGTGTTTTTATTTGTATTATTTGTTCCACTTGACAGTATATGTTTGATTTTGCATGCCTGTCACGGCGACAGAGGATCATCCAGAGAAATCGAACGGAACGGCTAAGTGAGATGCTAGACTGGAGAAATTTAGGAGTTGTAAGTTTTGTACAGTTTAGGTCTTAGATGTGATGAGTGTACCAGGCGTTTAGAAAAGTTTTTTGTTTGTTTTTGGAGGCATTTGTTTTATGTACTGTTGAGTAATTAGGCAATCTTCAGATATTATGTTGGTATTCTATTTCAATTAAAGGTTTAACTTTTTTTTCTTCATCAATGCGATTTGATCCATGCAGTTCAAGAATTTTGGAAAATTATTTTATTGTTTAAAAACATGTATTTTTTCTGGAATGCCATCTCAAAAATTAACCTTTTAATATTTGTAGTATTATCGCAAAGCAAGAAATCAAGCCCTCTCAAAGGTTTTTGGAGAAAGAGCTGGTGTGGATATAGCTACAGTAAGTTATGACAATGTCAATAAAATTGTAGATAAACTCATGCTCAATGAGTATAACTAAATATTTATCATATGGATCCCTGGGTTATATGTAAAAGAATCAGACATTTTATTTTTCTCAAATTTCTTCTGTGATAATTGATTTTAACCTTACCTAAAGGAATAGATCGACCCAGATATCTCTTCATCAGACTGATATGGAAAACCTTATGTCCACTATTAAGTTTGTTTCTGTCATAGGTAAAGATAAAATAAATGGACACGTTATTGGAGTATTAATCCCAGGCTTACTCTCAATGAAATGAGGGTGGGACATTGGACTGTTATTTATCATTTAAATGTTTAATATAGTTTCAATTTAATTATTTTAAACAGAGAATTATTATTGACATTATTATTGAATACTTACTGAACACTTATTGATGTCATTATTTTTAACATTGAAGGAGAAGAAAGACTTCAAAATGATGAAGCCTGCGTCTGCACCTCCTTCCCCATCATCAACCCGGGCCTCAACCCCTCAGGTTAGTGATGTGGAGGACGATGATGACACACATCTTTATGACGATGAGGAAGAGGCTGGAATCCAGTTCAAGGCGGAAAAGCCTGCTACAGCTGCGGTATCATCTGCTTGATGCAAAGAAGCAAACTAGGTTGAAAATGTTTAGGGGCATAATGAACACTAAAAACCCATTGAAAGTTTTAGTTGACTAGTTTTGAATTTGAATCTCAGGAACTGATAGAACACCAGCTGCCATTTGACATGCCAAGATCATGTTTGAATGAGTGGGTTTAAAAGTACTAAATATGTTTTTAAAAGATGCACAGGTGAAAAAAGTGCCCTATACCATTTAGTTTGCATTAACTGCGTAAAACTTAAATCAGAAAGATATGTTGGAATTTTTGTTCTGAAATGGGTTGACGTCTGAATGTGTATCAGATCGATTTTAGAAAAAGTTATTAAAAAAAACAAATGTGCTGTGGATGGCTTGGAGCTGTCTAAAAGTTATGTGGGTACTTTACATTTTCATTTCATATGAAATCTGATGAGGGAGAGACTGTACTAATTGTCATGAATTTGATTTTTGAAAAGGCGTGTGATATATATAAATAAATCACTTATTTTTGAGTTTAGAAGAAGCAACAATTCAAGATATATTTCTTTAGAAATATGTTGCCCTTTTACAAAATATTGTCTGATAGTAAAAGAAGAAACCGAATGGTTTATCAATCAGAATCACATTCATATAAATATACTTATGTCATTGATCAAATAAAGGGTATTTTAAAAAGAAATTTAAACATTAAAAAGTACTTATTAGGTCAACCATGAAACAAAAAAATGAAATGACTTTTAACAATAATTATTCTAATATTGTGTTATAATAATCTTTCTATTCATATACAACTGATTTTACATGACTTTACTTTCCCAAATGTATTCAGATATATATATTGGTGATGTTTACTGCAATTTAAACTAAATGAAGACATGAAATTATGATATAAAAAAACTCAAGAATTACAATTTACATCATTTCCTTATGAAGAACTTTTTACATTGTTCAGTAATTGTTGATTCCTGAATGCAAATATTTAACTAATGATAATATAATTAAATTAACAAAAAGAACCCAAAAAAAAAAAAAAAAAAAAAAAAAAAAAAAAAAAAAAAAAATAAAAAAAACTCAAGAATTACAATTTACATCATTTCCTTATGAAGAACTTTTTACATTGTTCAGTAATTGTTGATTCCTGAATGCAAATATTTAACTAATGATAAAATAATTAAATTAACAAAAAGAACCCAAAAAAAAAAAAAAAAAAAACCAGACAAAGTTAGAATGGACATTGACAATGAATCCTCTGAAGTGCTCAAATAGTCAAGAACTTGATGTGTTACAGCAAAGGTTTCCATGCACTTAAATGTTGTTTTTTTTAGTATTCAGCCTGTTAGCTTTAACAGTCGGGGCGATGAGACAAGGTTTTAGTTTAATAAAAGAATGCCTGTTAGTGTAAGATTTATTACTTGGGATGTGTAAGACAGGCTGTCAGTTGATTAATTTAGGTGTATAATAATAATCATGGCTGTTAGTTTTTTCACTTGGAAGTGTGTAAGAAGGGAAATGTAAAAAATTAATAATGCATCATTAACAAAAATCAAAGTTTAAGTCTTTTTTTAATGTACCAATAATATAGCTTTTTGTTTGATCTCCATAAAAGTTGTATTATGTTCAATGGCACCAAAGAAACAAGACAAAGTGTGTGAAGATATTTTCTGCTTGCAATATTTTATTTTATTTAATCAGATGTGTATCCCTAAAGCACTCTAATAAGTGATTACCACAAAAACTAGTCTGTAGCTGTTCCATGGCTACTAGTTTTATGACTGATAAGTTATTTCTAGTATATTTCTATTAGAGCTCTGTAGGGATTCAATGAATGTACACTATGTTTACAAATGTCAAAAAATAAATATTTTTTAAAAAGTGAATATATTGATTGATTCTATTAATATTTATAATAAATGGTTGTTGAGAAATGTGAAATGGTTTTTATTTGTGCCTGTTTATACCCCAGGAGTATTACATACAAGCTTCCCATATAAAAACACTAACTTTTACTTTCCAAAACCCTAGAGGATGATGTCTAAATGACAATCATGTTCATATTTGACTGCATTAAATTCTACCATACTAAATACATGAAATGTTTTTGTGCAGTGAATAAACTTGAATTGTGTTTTGTTTTTTTCACGCCCCATGAACTATATTAATATTCTAATGACCCACTTGCTTCGACACGCAGATTTTTTTTCATGAACCATTTCAGAAAAACAAAAGAAAACTTGGGTTTTTTCTTTTTTTTTTTTTTTAAAGATCTATTTTAAACCACGAATATGTGTCAAGTTTCACCTCGATAGCTTTGCGGGAAGTGGGTTGATTAGCCGTTAAGACTTTGTCAGCCACGAAAAAAAGTGAGTGTAAAGGTTTTTAAAAAAAGATTTTTTTTCATGAACCATTTCAGAAAAACAAAAGAAAACTTGGGTTTTTTCTTTTTTTTTTTTTTTTAAAGATCTATTTTCAACCACGAATATGTGTCAAGTCTCACCTCGATAGATTGACGGGAAGTGGGTAGATTAGCCGTTAAGACTTTGTCAGCCACGAACAAAAGTGAATGTATAGGATTTTAAAAAAAGATGTACATTGATACAGTCTTACACTTGGTGAAAGTGTGGCACCGCAGTAAGTGTGGCTAATCTTTCAAGTAATTCTTAATTTTTCAGATTTACTGCTTACAACATCTTTCTGTTAGATGGGAGCATATCTCCTAGATGCCTTGCTCATTTGGAGTCTAGTGTGTTTAAAAAGCAACAAATCTTGGTGGATTGGCACAATAATAATTTTAATACTAATAATACATCTCAATTTTATCGAAGTTGTTAAATTTTGAATAACACATCAATAATGTTTTCAACATTTGGGGTGGTGTTCCTCAGATAATTTTTTAAGATATATTTCTTCAAATTCTCAAAACAAAAACCCAGAGATTTTTATGTCATGTCACAATGAGTTTAGAGCTTTTAAATTTTATTCAATTTAAAAGTAATGCTTTAGTTTACAAATACAATCTCTCAAATCAGCATCACTGTATTATTACTACGGGCTAGTCTGCTAGATTGTCCAATGTAAGCTAGAAGTAAAAACCTTATCTCACTTTCTTTTCATTCGTTTGTTATGTAATAATTAAAAAGTTATATTAAAGTTAAGGGCGAAAAAGATTTTGTTGTGTATTTATTAGAAAGTTATATTAAAGTTACGGGCGAAAAAGATTTTGTTCCATTTAAAGGTCAGTTGTCACATGATCAAGTCATCGGAGGCAAAACAATCGACAAGGAACTTGACAAAAATAACGGTATCAAATACATTCCTTAAATAAATCCATTATAAAAAAACGTTAAACAAATAGCTTAGGTTGTTTCATATAACTTTTTCCACCACAATCGATGAGTATACTAATACTAAATACTAATGAGAGTGACTAAGTCGTCTAAAAGTTTAATGAAAACTTGACTAAAGATTATTACTAAAAATTAGTAAAAACAAACTAGGCCGAGGCCCAACAAGATTCTTATACTATACTATACTATCTATAATCTATAGTAGCCTATGCCTATAGTACTATTACTACTACTCCTAAGCCATAAAGAAAGAAAATAGTAGATTATACTATAGGCCTATATACTAAATATTTGTAGTAAAAGTTTAGACTTAGAGTCTACCACTTAGACCACTACTTTCTACCACTTTCCTCTGATTCCCATTTATTATTATTATTATAGCTACCCTACTACTTCTACTACTACTACTACTATTAAAATATATAAAATATAATATTAATTTAATTGCTTAGCAGTAAATAGAGTAATTAAATCATATTTATATAGGCCTAGTAATTTACTATACTACTGTATTAGACTACTTAATAAAATAAAATCGTAAATATTCATAATTGAGCTTAACGGCTTAACTAAAGTTAACAAAAAATACTTTTATTAGCTTATCACTTATCAGCTCTGACTCTGATAACTGAAAGAAGTCCTCAATACTATACTGTTAGCAAGCTGAGTGAGAGACTGTACTGTAAATAGGACCACAATGTCTAACTATGGGACCATACGAGAATACAGAGATGACCCTCAGTTTAGAGATTACAGAGATGAGGATGGGGGATCTGTGGCAGAGCTCACTGAGCAAATACGCAGCAATATATTTAAAATCAACAATGGAGGTAATCCTGGCACCATTTTTACTGTGTAAAAGACAAATTAAAGTTATTTTCAATAACAAAGTTAATATCCATTATAGCTAGCAAAGCATGTGACCTAAAGTTTTTGAATATTCTGAATATATAATTGATATTATGGTATAAATATGTTAGACTTGCATTTACATTTTTTACCTTTTGCCCATTTATTACAATGGATTATTTTACCACAGCCAATACAGTGGAACGTGCCATGAAAAGCCTTGGAACCGACAGAGATAGCGATCAACTTAGGGATAAGATGTATGTTTATTTTATTTGAAATTGAACTGTATAATTTTCCTGATTATTCAATGGTCACTATGAAATTCAGAATGCTTTTCCAACAAAAATCTCCATCATAGGTGCATTTCAGATATCTTTGTCTCTGGCTACTGTTGCATGCAGTTGTTGTGGTGAACTCCTTCACTTCACTTTTCACTCAATGTTCTCTGGACACCAATTTAAGTGATTCCAAAAAACGTTTTGTACATTAAGCATAAATAAAGACCGGGAAGATGGTTCTATTTCATTCATTGATATTTATGAAAGGTGGGTCATTTATTCATTTTCTGATCTGTCGACCTTCAAAATTCCTAATTTTAGTTTCTCTGTAATAAGTCCATATTCGATGCGCATTAAATGCTTTATTCAAAGTGTTAAAATTTACAAACCGTTTTATTGGGCAGGCCTAGAATTATATATATATTTGCAGTAGATATAAGCTATTTTGTGTTGCTAAAGTTTGTTTACATTTTTTTTCCGACCACCATATTTTCATCAGAGATCATACTTTTCTTGCCAAATTTTCATGGTTGGCTCCACTATCTCAAAAGACATACCTGTGTTGCCACTTTGTAAACCATGGGGAAAAAGGATTTTCTAGTCTACACAAATCACCCAAAGATATTTTTTTTCAATAGTAATTATCTTTTCAAAGACTAAAGAGATGTATTCTTTTTTCATCTTGGGGATTGACTGATTGGAAAAAAATAACCTCCTGTTTGTTTGCCGTTTCGTAATATAACACATTGTCAATAAACAATTATAATCCAAAACACACACACACAAAATTATGGCTTCCTAAAGTTTCTGATGTCAGTGAGCAATACTAAGATCTTTTTGTTTTTCCCAAGTCTGGAGGCAAGATTTTGTCGACGGGGGCTATTGTTCCGTACAAATTTTACATACATTATGCGGAAGCCATGGATCATCTTGATCTCCAAATTTTGGTACCAAATAACTTATCATATTATGTTCTTTTTTCAAACTTGGTACACATTTCCTACATCTTGAAAAATAAATCCATATGCGGCTGTTTCATTAGATCAAACGTGGAAACTTTAGAAATTAAATTTATGCAGTCTAATAAAATCATGATTTGACATCTAAATAATGTTTGCATAATTAGTTGAAGGAGCAGAACAAAGTTGATTTTTTTCCCTTGAACTATCTATGGCAATTAGTATAGCAAGGAAGAAGACAAATGTCTTTTTGCCCACACAAAATTTTGGTAATAAAATACATAGATTTCCCATTTAAATAATACTTTAATATGATATCCGGATTCAACAAAATTAACCTTGTAAGGCGGTGGTGCTCAACCTTCCTAATGCCGCGACCCTTTAATACAGTTCCTCATTTTATGGCGACCCCCAGCCCCAAAATTATATTCTTTGCTACTTCATAACTATATAGCATATATGTTTTCCGATGGTATTAGGCGACCCCTAGGAAAGGGTTCTGCGACCCCCAAAGGGGTTGCGACCCACAAGTTGAGAACCACTATTGTAAGGCTTAACTTGTATAGAGAAAACTATGTTTTTAAAAATTCAATAATTTCTTTAAAACTAGATGAGATGCCCCAAATAACTCTAGGAACAGACCTAAAACTCAAGGCACCAATAAAACTGTATTTTTTTGATGGCATGCATTATTATTTACTTGTCTAGGTTGGCTGTTGTATTCTGACTTCAGTGGTTGAAGTATTTCACACAGGATTTACCTTCTCCCCAAGTCTAGCTGCCTCGCTTGGCTGAGGATTTAATCACAAAATGGACTATAAGTGATTTAGATGTAGCACTTATTTTTTTTAAATTTAGAGAAAAATGTATTGCTGAATAAAATGAAAAATGTATAAAAATTTTTAATGTTAATTTTTTGTGAGAAATAAATCCAATATTATTTTGCACGCAGACATGAGACTTCACAGAGTACCAATAAGGTTGTGCAAAGTACTACTCGATTTCTTCGAAAAGCTGCAGGCAAGCCAGCAAATAAGGTGAAATTGTGTTTTTTCTTCCTCATAAAACTGGGCATTGCAATTGGTTTTAGATTAAATACTTCGTAATGACACCCTGTGCGTTGCAAGAGGTTGTAGATGAATTAACTTTGTAATGACTTATCAGTGACTTGTGCAAACTATTTGTGATCTTTAAAAAAAATTAATTTTCATTTAATAACTAACAATATGTCACAATTTTTTTTTTAAAGGTTGCGTACATGTTCAAGGTTTATTTCATTGTCACTGATTAATTTTTCATTTATACCACAGCAAGAAAAGATTCAATTGGACCTTCTAAAGAGTAATTTTCATGATGCATGTACAAGATTTCAAACCCTACAAAAGGTAAGATGTAATAAAATGTATATAAATCTTAACTGTCAAATCTTTTTTTTAATTCCTTTATATGAACTTCGTTTTTGTGTTTCTTTGTTGTTGCAAAATCTTCGAAAGGCTATTTCAGCCACTTGCCTTCATCCTATCGAGCTGAAACTTGGCACATTGACTTGATGCAGTTGACAACATATACGATCAAATTATCAGCCCTACCCCAACCTGACAAAAATCAGTTTTTCCTGTTTTTAAAGGGGTGGGGAATGTTAATGACTTGTTCAATGGTTGTGCGTTTTGGTGTGGAGATTAATTATGTAGCTGTTGCTGTGTGCCTTGTGTTTGTGACGTATTTGGGTTTAAATATATCTTTAGTCTGTTAGGTTTTACACATCAGTCTCTACAATCACGAAAATGATAAACCATGTGCAATTACATAATAAATGCAAACAAAAAATGCATAAAAAGGATTTGTTTAATTCATCTCAAGTTTGTACTAATTCTTTGATAGTTATACAATTCAAGTGCTCCAGAAACAATGACAGCTGTTGAGCTCTATTTTACCCATGCATTTTTTGCTCAAGCTACTTTTAAACCATTTTTTACTCCTTATCATTTTGACATTTTAATGTGAATCTTTCTTTTGGTTAAAAAAAATAGTAATTTCCAACTTGTTTATCTCAGAAAGCTGCAGCTAAAGTAAAATCATCTGTAGTTCTTGGAAGCCAGTCCAAACAGCCCCTGGTGTCCTTTGGTGTGAGTCTAACAGATTTTGATTCTGTGTTAAATCAGACATGTTTTGTTTGAATTTTATATTGTAGAGTTACACTGAATTCTTGTCCTATTTGAAGAAAGTAGATAAGTTTAAAAAAAATAATTTTTTTTAAACTCATGGCATTAGTAAAATAGCTCTTGATAGTGCTAAAAGTACTTAAGTCAAAAAATATACAGGTTGAGCTAATCAAGTTCAAATATTCTTTTCGTCTATAAAATGTGATCATTTTTCAAATTTTGTCTTGTTTAATTAAAGGACTTAGCACATTTTACCGTGTTCAAATGTCTGCAGTATACTTAGCTAAACCGGATAAGAAAAGGTCACAGTTTAGATTGATTTTGACAAAAATGTGACTTAAGTACTTTTAGCACTAGGGTCTTCAATTACTTTCAGATAGTTGTGGGTCAGTAGCTTTGTAACTATTCCTGCATCCTTTCAGACGCAACATAATATTCCTTTTTTAAAACTAAAATTTCCTGTAAAGATAATCAGTTATAACACCATTATTAAAATCAATTCATCCAGATTTTTCCATACACTTTAAGAGAATGTGGCCATTAATTGCCAAGAAAGTAAAGAGCAATAAATAAAACAACAACATAACATTTGCCCTTCATTCCTACGTCTTATAGATAAACGATTGATACAAGATGAAATGTACTTATACACATATAGATGCTAAAAAAAAACCACAACAGCCTACAGATAGTTTCTCTTTACTTAGTGGTAGCAGCTTGAAGTCTTTGGCGGGAAGCATGACTTCATCTGTATTGCAAAATGAAAATAAGAGGTGTGCCTTGGGAGGCATTATGTCGCGTCTATCTGGACTTTGTTAAATGTATTTGTTCACAACTAACCGCAGGATCAAGCTCAGTTAACAGAGTAAAAATTATAAAAGTTTATAGCTAATATCATTTTTATTTTTTCTGCTTGCACCACAACTATCTAAAATGCTTCTCTTTTCAAACTTATTGTTTTATCTCAGTTCTTTTGTTATTTTCTGTACAGGACAATGATGAGGACCACACGGTGGCAGTAGAAGAGCAACTGAGACGTACACAAATATTGAAAGAACACGAAATCGTCATTGAGGATGACTTAGCACTTATTCGAGAAAGAGAAGAGCGGATTCATCAGCTGGAAGTAAGCTTAAATTTTGGCTTATAAAGAGTAGACCAGTGGATAATAAAGCATTTAAGTTTGTTGTTTTAATAGATAAAAAAGGGATAGGCAAGATATTTTTATTTTACTTTTTCATTAATTAACCTCAGTTCAAATTGACTTTGAGAAATGAAGTGAATGTGTTAATTTTTTTCAGTTTTATTTTGTTCCAAGCACCATATTTAAAATAATGTAGGAAAATGCCTCTCAGATAAACTTTATTAACATAAAAATTAATGAGGCATCTCTGAAATATTTATTTTCCAAAACCTCTTTATTAATTAAAAAAAATTATTTTTCAGGCCGACATTCTTGATGTGAATGAGATATTCAGAGAACTAGGAGCTTTGGTTCACACACAAGGAGAGGTCTTAGGTATGTTTTTGTTGGGGCTAATTTGTACTGGTGTGTGCATGTGGCGCACATCAGTAATGTGTCTATACAGGACAGAAATGTGGTGCACATAAAAATTAGTAATGCTTCTATACAGGGCAGCAATGTGTCTGCCTCATAACCATGAGTTACAGGTTTTAAAGACATTCAGCCTTTTCCCAAGACATGGGGAGTTACCCATGAGGCTGTATATAAACATTGTCCTATCTTGAAAGCTATTCCTGGGGGGTGGGTGGAAGCTGGCAAAACCTGTTAGACAAACTCAACTGGCAAATTGGGAAGAAGGCAGCAGGCAGTTTATTGATGGATGAAAAATCTGGCAGCAGGTGGTTTATTGATGGATGAGAAATCTGATAACTTTTTTTTATCTTGGTGTACACACAAATAAACACACACAAACAAACAGACACATGCATGCAAAGAAACATAACCATATAATTTAGATAACTTAGAAATGAGGTTCAAAGTACAAGATGACAATAATTTATATTTGTATTTGTGGGAGTCTAACTTTACTCATCAGGAGAAAGGTTATTTTTATATTTAATTTTTTGGGGCTCTCTGTGTAACTAACTGCTACTGCTAAGAATATTCAATCTATCTTGTTAAAATGATGACATCAAATGACAATTTTTGTAAATCTTCACAGACACTATTGACAGCAATGTTGAAGTGGCCTACTCTAATGTTGAGTCTGGCAATGAACAACTCATAAAGGCAGCTGAGTACCAGGTAAAGAAAAGTGCTTCTTTCAGTAACTTTGGCATCTAAAGAATGGCTACTTTCAGTAACTTTGCATTTAATTCGCATTAAAAAATACCGCTCCGTTATAGGGAAATGACCACACTTTAAATTATGGAAGGGGAGCTTTAATTTCCTTAATTATTTGAATCAATCTAGGACAATACAATGATCCAATTTCGCTCATCCATGTTCTGTCATACCTCTTTTTCATTGATATTAATTTGCTGTTTTTTTTATCCTATTAGCTTAGCTGTTGCTTTTTTTATCAGGGGAATCTTTTTAAAAATATTTTATTAGCTTTTTTGTTTGTTCGCTGTTTTTTTTTAAACTACAGATCAGCATAGATGGTTTTTTTTCCCCCCAGTATTATTTCATAATCGGTACTGATTAGAAAAATCTATAAAATTTCACTGTTTCATTGTGTGTTCATTTTTTCTCTCCCCCAGAGGAAATCCAGAAAGAAGATGTGCTGTTTGGTTGTGATATTCCTGGTCATAGCAGTCGTCATCACCATTATTGTTGTTGTCAGCATCAAAGCTTGAGTTGGGGGTTGTTTTTTGTTGTTTTTTTTTACTCATAAGCCACCTCAATTCATGTTTTTAAACTTTAATGATTTATTTAGCCGGTGCGAACCGAACGAAACAAATATGAAAATGTAATTATAAAGTATGTATTTTATTGAAAATGAAATGCTTATGGCGCAGTTTACAGGGTGAAGTCTAAGTAAGACCCTGATGCTGCCTTTATGTTATTATTGTAAACGCTGTGCCACAGAACATGGATGTTGATGTATTTACAGGTTTTGGATTATAGGGCTTGCTTTAACCACCTGATTTGAGTGAGCAGGTTGATTTTTTTTTATATTTTAACTAATTTGAAACAAAACATTTCAAAGGAAATGTGTAGTGAGAACAATGTGGTAAACCATGCCACATGTTTTCACTGCCACATTCTTGGAGGGTCCAACCACATTAATTAAGTTTGATATTTTGTATTGAAATATTTTTTTCAATTGTGTGCTGTCAGTGTGTGGTCAGCAAAATAATACAAGATGAGAAAAATGGTCTTGATGTTTTAAGACTTCTCGGCACCGCCGGCAGCCGTGCAGATTGCTATTTTTTTTAAAATCTAAATTTTAAATAGATGAAAAGTTAGAAAAAAAATTTGTTAGGTATAGTTTCATTCATTAAAACTAAACTTTATTAAATTTCATGTCTTGCTATGGATTCTATGCTTATATTGCTAAAAACTTGGGACTTCATAGTACTGTTCCAAAATTTTTTCTGCTTATGAGATGAATTGTATAAAATAACTACTTTTTTTCTTTTGTTGAATATTTCCAGCACCCTTAGCCTCCCATGTGACCTGCAGATGTTATACTTGTACTGGGTTTTTTTGGGGTTCCTTTTTTGCCTTATTGATTATTGCTCGTATATTCCTTGATTGTGATAAATGGTAATTTGCGCTCCTTTGTAGCTAGCAACAGTTTTAAATTGGCCTCCTGTCAAGGTTATGCTATTCCATTGCTAAATTTGTTCCTACTTTCTATTTTTTTACTTTTAGCTCAACTAACGCCAATTGTGTACATTAATTATGATTGAAAATATATAATAGTAAATAATGTTGATTGTCTATGCATTATTAATGAATATAAGTTAAATTCCTTGTCTGTTAAAAGAAATTATTTGGTCCTGAGAAAGCAATTTTGTTGTATCATAACATCATCCAAAGTACATAATTTAATAACTTTAAAAAATAAAAAAAAAATGTAAATCTCTCAATTTCTCTTTCACTGTTCCACCAGACAATGGTAGATAGAAATGTGCAATACTTGAATCTGTGTTATTATCTTTGGCGATTTTAAGGAAATTCTGTTATAAATTTTATTTGAGCCTCATAGATATGGGGCTCAGGTGTGTTTTTTCCCCCTGCATCATGGAATTGAGCATCTTAATAATATAGTTAAAAAATTAAGCTAGATATCAAGTAGATGGCTCTGTCCCAATTGCTACATGATCAAAATGTTCTGTTTCTAAACTTCAAAAAAAAATTTTAAATTATGATATAAAATATTTGTAATTAGGCCTATTTATTATGCCTTTTAAGTGAAACATATAATTTTTAAAAAATTATAAATAAAACATAGGCATGAATTTAGTGGTGTTTGTTTCTAAAAATTGAAGTTTGTCCATAGCCTGAAGTAAGCCCATCTACAATCAGTAGTCAGCAGCTTTTTGAACCTGTCATAAATCATAGAGTTGGAAGAATTTCCATATTTCTATAAGTATATACTCTCTTTCCGTGCCTACGTTCAAAAGCAGTATTTATTTGTCTAAAAAAAGTTAATTGAATCAGCAGAAATTTTTTATAAATTTAATGAAAAAACAAAAGCATTGCTATGATTTAAAATCAAACTACATTTAAAAAATAATAAACAAGCCTTTTAGAGCAGGGGCGGTGAACTATGAGGGGGGGGGGGCATCTTTATTCTTAGCCGCTATAATCTATAAAGATGCACTCAAAATATTTTGGAGTCCCTGACCAAGAGGCAGAGAGAGTCCGCGATTATCCCCAGTCTTCTAACATCTTATTCTGACAAAGCAATTTTGTTAAGGAGGTAAACCCAAAGTTAAAAAACAAGTTTGAAGACAGTGGCCAAGTTGGCTTGGTACTTATCTGACATAAAAACAAAATTATCAGTGTCAAATGAAACAGAAAAATATTTACCAATAAATCACATTTAATATCTCACCAGTTTTAAACTCTTTTTTTTTAAATCTTAAAATTATCACATGTGAAAAGAGTTTGATTATTTAAATAAATAAATAAGTTCTGACCATTCGTTGGAAATGTAACACAGTTCAATATAAACAATAATTCTTCCCACAAACTATAATTGCTTTGAGCCAACTGGACAATGCCGCCGTGGACTCTTGATTAATGTAAAGAGTTTCAAGGCTGCCCTGGCACCCACTAGGAGCCGTTAGGATAGCCGCATCATTTCCCAAAGCGTTGCACATATGCCAGTACATGGATGCAGCAACGTACCCTATCAGAATGTATGTAAATACATACACCCAACATGGATTAGAGACAATGGGTAACAAACACATTTTCAACACACACTCCATATCATCAATTTGTCAAGTATACATTTTCCACACACTCCATATCAATAGGTAAAGTGTACATTTTCAACACACACTCCATATCATCATTTGGTAGAGTATACCTGTTCCAAAGCATTACAAAAAAACGACAAAGATTTTTCAATGTAAAGGCACCCAGTGAATACATTGTGCAGATATCATATAATACTGGAATGTGCTATTTTATATAGTAATGTGATACATAGAAAAAAACCTTTTTTAAAAGTGATTATCACAAAAAATTGCATTAAGCCTATCACATCCCTCTCCTTTATAAATAGTTATAAACTATGTATAATAAATAAATAAACCATCATTGTGTAAAATGATTTTGAGTTTTGATACCTAAAATAATAATTAAAATTCTCAAGGCAACATTTTATTTTTGTGGCTTTTTTTTTAAGTGTTGCCTACTTAGATGCAGAGGAGAATGTAATGTACCATTCATGGTAAAAGTGTAATAGTTTGAGAATCACTGACCTAACTCAACCCTTACATGTGTCCTAATTGAAAAAAATCAAAAATCAATGTGGTGTCTCAAAATGAACTAAAGGTACCAGTACTAAATTATAATTGTATTTCTGATCCTCCAAGAAAATAATTTTGGCAAACCAACACCCATTTTCATCACATAGGGCATAATTTTTAAATTTAAGTTGGAATATTGGTAAAAATTGCACCATATCTCATTTTTTCCCCACTCTAAAGCAGTAATAATTGTTGCACGTAACAGCATGAAATAAAAACTAGAAAATAGTCCTGGACCGATTTCAGTTCCTATTTACTCTCCTGTATCGGAGAGAGTTTTAAATCTGGAGTTTTGTGAAAAACTTTCCTCCTCATTTCCATTGCCTCTTTTTGTTTCCTTATTTCCTCTCTGAGTTTTTGATATTCTGGGTGGTTTAACCTGTAGGTTAGCTTCCAGAGAAGCGGTTGAGACCGTGGCGTGTAACGTCTGCCAAACAAATCTGTTTTTTGGTCAAGAGGTGGGGGTGGTGGAGGGGGGGAAGGCACAGGTATGAATCTATGAGCGTACTGTTTGAAGTTTTCTGGAGGGAGTATGTCACCTGATGAAAAAAATTGTCTATTTTATTCATAGTAAATAAAATATAAAAATAATATATAATACTACATTAAAATATATATACATATATTGTTCAAATTTAATCCATAGAAATATTTTAAGAATGTCTGTCACTTCTGAGATTGATTATTTCAATTTTAATATATTCTTGTTTGAATAGTACCATGAATATGAACAAAATAATTAAATCCTTTTTTATGCAATAAAATAAAATCATATCATTTAAATGTGAATTTTGCGCAAGGCATGAGACTATTTTTTGTTGTGGTAAAACATGGGGAAAATAAAAGTAAAATACTAATAATTTTCTTGATTACCTGGTACATTTTTTTGTTGCATTCAATGGGGGTATGCGCTTCTTTCTTAATTTTTTTGGTCTTATTGTTTTGTAACGTGGTCAGTCTAAGATTCAATGGGGCAAGACTCTTTCTTATTATATTATAATGTTGTCAGCTGAGTTTGTTAGAAAAAAACTTTTTAAATTCTAAAAGAAAGCTGCACCCAACATATTTAGGATTATACTTTGTAAATTTTAATAAAAACACCAAGACTGTTTCTTACCTCGTTCACTAAGAGGAGGATTTCTTGCATCAGATTTAACTTTCAGCTCCTTGAAGTGTTTGATTTCCTTCCTAATTCTCTCTATAGCCAAACTTTTCTTATTTGAATCTTGAAATAATTTACTCTCTTTGAGATATTTTTCATATGAGTTTCCAGCAAGCTGTGAGGGAGCAGGAATATTGAGGGGGTACATTGTTGCAATCACTTCAGATATTTTCCTTCCTTCAGCTGAGAAGTTGAGTCCATACTGACGTCGGAAGTTCCTCCAAATGTTGCTGTTGTAGCTGGTGTCTGGGCGAGCTGGTACTGGTGCGGGAGACTTACCAGCCTCAACCCACAAAATATATTCCAAAGTGGGTATCTCTCTCGTAAAATCTTTGCTCTGAGTTCTTAGAAAGTGCCTACACTCAATATCCACCATAGACTGTGGTCTGGCCTGTGTGGATAATCGTTGGATTGGGCGAGGTGTGAATCCCAGATGGTGAGGCACCTCATCTGCCATCAGCCTTTCCCTCTCCTCGATGGAAAGTTTAACCTCGTTGCCATCCATCACGGATGACCTGCTGGAGACAATAATTAATAAGCAAAATGCATGAAAACAGTGAATTTTATAATCTATATATAGCCATCATTTGATTATATGAAATCAAAAACAATTTCATCCATCATCCATTTTAAATTCATTGCTCAACTATTAAACTTCTAAAAATAATAAAGTTGATAGGCAAGAAAGTAACTCTTGAAATTCAAATAAATATAAAAAAATATTTGAAATTTAAAAAATAAATAAATGTAATTCTTTTAGTAAAATATTTTTAAAAACTTAATAATTATTTTAATTTTAAAAATAAAATTATTGTTTTCTGATAATAATAAATCATGATAATGGTATCCTCTTCCCAACCTGAACTAACGTATACTTGAAGAAAATTTTTAATAATTAGACTCATCACAATTGAACTGATAAGATACTACAGTTTTACTCCAGACAAAATGAAAAATACACTCACACTCACAGGCCTTGATCAATAATATGTCAATGACAATACTTTACAAGTTTTTTATTTTAAAAAAAAATATGATTGTTTCATTTACTGATTCATAAAAAAGTTGGGACGAAATACAAATAGTAGGATAACTAAGACTTAAATAGTAAATATTCATTCATATGAATTGTGCTATCCCCCTTATTGGCCCTAATTCTTATGACTATGATACTATGGATGGTTCAAGTTGGTCATTTACCACTTCAGCTTTTTCGGCTATTAAAAATCACGTTTTTATTTTTAAGGTTAGGGCTTAGGGGCTAGGCAGGCAAGCCTAAGACGAGCTAAGACCATTAATTTTGATTAATTAATTAATAATTTATTTACGAAAGACTGTTATTAAGACTACCTTTCCCCCCATTACTAATGATACTGACTACTACTGCCATCGACCATTGCCGATTGTCATTACCCGATGCTTTCATGAATTTCCCATTTACATTCATTTCATTTGTGATGATGCTTATTTTTATTACTTTTAATGTCAACGAGGATTTGTCGAGGCTCTTTATTTAAAAATAATGTAAAAATAAATTCATTTTCTGGTAACCTTTTATTTATCCAGTCCACAGAATTGCAATATAAATGCTTGATATCCGCAAGACCATGAAAACCATTTATTTTTTCCCTTTTCAATACTACAATAGCTACAAGACGCCAGAGTTGTAACTAAGGCTGTTGCTAAGGAATCCATTATTCAACCGAGAATTTGATGTATTAACTGTATATTTTTAAATAATTCCATAATCTAATCTTTAAAGTCGAAACACGTGTGAATTAATTTACAATCATGAAAATGGAACTTAAGAATATCAAAATAATCGTTTACAATAAAGATGACACCTACTTAACGACAAAGAATGGTCGGTAATGGCATGGGGTTGCAGTCAGTAAACAGAACAGCCGCTTGTGTGTTTATTATGGGAACCATAAACATGGCGGCTCCCATGTAAAAGGATAGCCGAAACGTCTATTTAATTTAAAGTGGAGACGTACCGATGACATATTTTGTAAGTTAACATCAATATTTGTTCAAGCATTGAACTCATTTAATTCATAATAGTTTATGTTGTATTTAATTATTTAATTGTATTTCATAATTATGGTGGTTTTGAAAAATCAACATGACTTAAATAAATTTAATAAAAAGTTAAAACTTTTAACTTTTAATATTTTAATATTAATTAAGTCTAAGTCGAAGTATCAAGTTAATAATAAGAAGTACACTTACATGTTAAATAGTTTTACAAGACTAACAATAATATTAATTAAATAAAAATTAATGAACTAAACTTAAACTAATGTTAAAAAATAACAGTACCTTACTAAGACTGTAGTAGTGTGTAAGTAAGTGTAAGAGTTAAAAGTAAAAGTAAAGTTAAAAGAATAGATTTCTAAAAATTTTAAGCCAACATGATTAGGTAAGGGTGTGGCAAGTTCTTTGTTAAGTTTAAGTCTTAAGTGATAGAGTAAAAACTTAAAGTTAAAATTAGTTAGTTAGAAATAAGTAGCTTGCCTTACTCTTAGCCTTCTTATTCTTAGCCCCTCTAACTCTAACACTTCTTTTTGTAATGATAGTGATAGTCTTAATAGTCAAAAAATGAATATAAAAAACCAGCCCAATTCCTAATCATTAAAAGAAATAATATATTATTTTAATAACTTATTTTATATATAATTTATAATATAATCATCATTAACTTTTTAAACTTTATAATTATAGTATTTATCAACCTGTCAAGTGTCAACCTTCAGCGACCAGGCATATTCAGTTAATTCAATTGATAAATATGATATTGTTGTTGTAGTGTATTCCATTGTAACTATACTATAACTGTTACTGTGATATAGTATAGGCAGTATAGGTAGAGTAGCCTATTCTTATACTATACGACTATACAGTGGCATACCTTGACTACATGTCACCCAGGGTGAACTCATAAGGGGCTAACTCCCAAAATTCGCTCCCCCCATAGTCCATAGCAAATTATCAGCATAATCAGTGTAGGCTATAGCATTGCTCGGTTATCTCTTATTTTAGCACAGTAAGTTCAATGCAAGTAGAACTGACCTTTTTTTGTTTCATAGTTAACTTTATAAATATAAATAAAAAACCTATTTCATTATCATCAAAATAATTTTAAAAGTCAAATATTGTCTTTTATTCTCTAATTTAAAAAAAAAATTAAAACAATGGTAAGAGACAAAATAAAGTACACCTCCATGCATATTTTGTCATTCACTGGGTCATTGTGGTATACAATGAGAACTCAGGTATTAAAAATCCCTTTTAAAACCAACAACTCATGACATTGGAAAACAATAGATTTAGATACTTGTTCTGTTAACTACTACAGTATAGTTTTATTGTAGTTCCATCTGGTAAATAAGGATTTTTAAATTAAAAAATGCTCACTAAACATCACTCTAGAATGCTAAAATAAGATAATTTCTGTTTTTTAGACTTGAAATTGGTCATTCTCAAGATTCAAGTATTTATAATTGATTTGAATTTAAACAGGATTGTAACAATTTTATAAACAGTAAACACTGTTTGGTCCTTATGGCTTGTTAAAAATGTTTTTGACTTAAATGAATTCAAAATAAGTAATGTAACAATTCATTCGGCTGCCTTGGTTAAGCAGATAGGCCTACTGTACTCAGGGAATAAAATAAATTGTGAATCAGACGAGACAAAGAAACCATCTGTTTTATGGTGGATATAAGTCCCATAAATGAGCGCCCCATAAAGTATTAGTGATCGTAGAAATAAATATTTTCTGTTTTGAAATTACTTAGTTTCATTTTTAGTGATGATCTGACAAGAAAAGTAGAATATCAAGGCATTCTGTTACAAAAACAATTTATTGTGGAGCTCCCCGCAAAAAAATTTGGTGTTGAGCTCTCAGCTCCTTAAATGAATAAAAAGTAATTTAAAATATACCTCAAACTTAAAAATAATTTAATATTAGTTTATTCTTTTCAGTGGATTATTTATGTGTTATTGTATCTCAAATATCATATTCAATTATTGATTTGATAATTAGAAACCAAGTGTAAATCTATTGAATTGAGTGACATAACAGGCAGGAGATATTATTTGATATATCATCTCACAGTTTAAATAATCAGTGAATATAATCCTCAGTCCTGTGTCTGTGCTCATACACCACATCTCCACTGGCTAAATCTCTGTACTCCACTGCCTAAATCTCTCTTTGTGCTCCACTGCCTAAATCGCTCTTTGTGCTCCACTGCCTACATCTCTGTGCTCAATTGACCCAGCTATTAACCACTGCCAACATCTCTGTGCTCTACTGCTAACATCTCTGTGCTCCACTGCCAACATCTCTTTGCTCCACTATGCCATCTCTGTGCTCTACTGCCTACATCTCTGTGCTTCACTGCTTACATCTCTGTGCTCCACTGTCCCATCTCTGTGCTCTACTGCCAACATCTCTGTGCTCTACTGCCAACATCTCTGTGCTCTACTGCCAACATCTTAGTGCCCCACTACCTACATCTCTGTGCTCCACTGCCTACATCTAATTGCTCTACTGCCAACATCTCTGTGCTCCACTGCCTACATCTCTGTGCTTCACTGCCTACATCTCTGTGCTCCATTGTCTCATCTGTGCTTCACTGCCTACATTTCTATACTCTACTGCCTACATCTCTGTGCTCCACTGCCTACATCTCTGTGCTCCACTGTCCGATCTCTGTGCTCTACTGCCAATTTCTCTGTGCTCTACTGCCAACATCTCTGTGCTCTACTGCCAACATCTTAGTGCTCCACTACCTACATCTCTGTGCTCCACTGCCTACATCTAATTGCTCTACTGCCAACATCTCTGTGCTCCACTGCCTACATCTCTGTGCTTCACTACCTACATCTCTGTGCTCCATTGTCTCATCTGTGCTTCACTGCCTACATTTCTATACTCTACTGCCTACATCTCTGTGCTCCACTGCCTACATCTCTGTGCTCCACTGTCCCATCTCTGTGCTCTACTGCCAACATCTCTGTGCTCTACTGCCAACATCTCTGTGCTCTACTACCAACATCTCTGTGCTCCACTGCCTACATCTCTGTGCTCCACTGCCTACATCTAATTGCTCTACTGCCAACATCTCTGTGCTCTACTGCCAACATCTCTGTGCTCCACTGCCTACATCTCTTTGCTCCACTACCTACTTCTCTGTGCTCTACTGCCTACATCACTGTGCTCATGTGCTCCACTGCCTACATCTCTGTGCTCCACTGCCTACATCTAATTGCTCTACTGCCAACATCTCTGTGCTCTACTGCCAACATCTCTGTGCTCCACTGCCTACATCTCTGTGCTCCACTACCTACATCTCTGTGCTCTACTGCCTACATCACTGTGCTCTACTGCCAACATCTCTGTGCTCCACTGCCTACATCTCTGTGCTCCACTGCCTACATCTAATTGCTCTACTGCAACATCTCTGTGCTCCACTGCTGAAATATCTGTGCTCCACTGCCTAAATCTCTGTGCTCCACTGCCTAAATATATGTGCTCTACTGCCTACATCTCTGTGCTCCATTGTCCCATCTCTGTGCTCTATTTTCCCATCTCTGTACTCACTGACACATGTTAGGACCCCACTGCTCTCGGCTATGAGCTCTGCTGTCATAGCAATGTTCCCCATTACCCTGGCTCTGTGCTGTTCTGCACTAGGTCAGCGTTCCTTGAAATTTTAACTCTATTATTTATCCGTTTTATGTTTATGGGACCCCCTATCTCAGGCATAATTAAATCGGTTTAGTTATGGAATGGGCCCCCGAGGCCCCTTGATTAACTTAAAATAAAAAGGATGATAATTATGGCATTTGTTGAAGATTTTTATCATATTCAAAAAAAATTAGAAAAGTAGTTTTTACACATGTTTCAAGCAGGTTATTAAATTTAATCTAGAATATTCCATAAAGTTATAAATTGTTACAAGGGGATATATAGCGGGATGTAAGGGATTATTGAAATTTTATGTAATTCTATTCATTTCTATACTGTCCCGGAGTTTACTGTTCTCTCAGTAACACTGAGTAATATTTTATACGTCATCCCAGATGGGTCGGGATCCCATCATAATCTTTATCCCAACGGGATCAGGATCCCACCAGAAAACGGGATCCCACCAGAAAACGGGATCCCACCGGGATTGGAATCCTAACCTTCAATAGATCCACCAGGATCGGGATCACACCGGGAAACGGGACTGCGCCAAGATCTGTGTCAGAATGGGATGGGAGTCCCAATGGGATCGGGGGTTACACCAGGATGGGGTTCTACTGCAATCCCGGGCCACGCCGGGTATATAGGCTAGTGTGTGTATATATATATATAAGGGCGTCTTAATTAACTTGTGGCACAGCAGAAAGGAATCAAATTCAAATGTGAAACTTACACTTACATGTTGTAAACATACTTTTCATTGATCGCAGATTTTTTTTAATGGGATCATTTTGTGAAGACTGGAGTAGAGACCGACCGAAAGTGATTTTCTGATTTCGGCCGAAGCCGAAAATAGGCCGAAAGTTTCAAATGACTTTCGGCCGAAACCGAAAAAAGGCCGAAAGTTTAAAAATGACTTTCGGCCGAAACCGAAAAAAGGCCGAAAGTTAAAAATGAATTTTGGCCGAAACCGAAGCCGAAAATGAAATATTAAGATATTTTGAAATTCGTTCCCGCATACATTCTGCTTACATCGAAAATGATGTGGTAAAGTATAAATATTTACATTCTTTTTATAAAAATGAGATAATCGTAAATATTAATAAATAAACATCTAATTTAGGGGTCTCAAACTCGCGGTCAGCGAGCCATTTGTGACCCGCAAGACGATATTTTGCGGCCCGCTACATGACAGAAAAGTTTAGTGTAAATGCGCCGGCCCGTTTCCACCATTCTCATATATACGGTTTCAGTCGATCTCACCGACTAATCTAATTTTGATTTTTTTTTTAATGACTCTATATATTTTTGTATGCCAGGTCTCTGGCAACAGTGAGTAATTCTTGGGATCGCTTAATTATTTCATTGTTATTTATAACGGTTGAGCAGATTGTAACAGTTGTAATCGCATTTTTGTGGATTATTTGATGCGGCCCACTCTTATTCAGACACTACCTCCTGCGCCCCCCCCCCCACCCCCCCCATAATTTGAGTTTGATACCCTTGTTCTAATGAATACTTTGGATTTTACCATTTTAATATAAAAGTAATTTAAATTGCTTTACAATTTTTTCAAATTTGTATGGTAGGAGAAAATTTGGCAAAAATTGGGGAGGGGGGGGGGAGGAGGGGAAATTAATGCAAAATATTATTTTTTTAAACCGGGTCTCTAAAAAATATGGTTCTAAAAGATCACTTAATTTGTTTTTAAAGATCGTTTAGTTGGTTGTTATTGATCGGTTAGTTTGTTCTTAAAGATCGGTGAGTTTGTTCATAAAGATCACTTAGATTGTTCTAAAATATCGCTTAGTTTCATCTTAAAGATCGCTTAATTTGTTCTTAAAGATCACTTAGTTTGTTGTTAAAGATCGCTTAGTTTGTTCTTAAAGATCGTTTAGTTTGTTCATAAAGATCGCTTAGTTTGTTGTAAATTCGCTTAGTTTTTTCATAAAGATCGCTTAGTTTGTTCTTAAAGATAATTGATTTTGTTCCTTAAGATCAATAAGTTTGTTCTTAAAGATCTTTCAGTTTGTTCCTAACGAACATTTAGTCTTCTGTTAAAGATCGCTTAGTTTATTCTTATAAATCATTAAAGATCATTTGTTTTGTTCTTAAAGATCATTTAGTTCGGTCTTAAAAATCGTTTAGTTTGTTATTAAAGATCGCTTAGATTGTTCTTAAAGATCGCTTAGTTTTTTTTAAAGATCGTTTAGTTTGTTTTTAAATGGCGCTTAGTTTGTTGTTAAATATCATTTAGTTTGTTCTCAAAGATCACTTAATTTGTTCTTAAATGTCGCTTAGTTTGTTGTTAAATATCGCTTTTGCTTAGTATTCAATGACCGAAAACCTGAGTCACTTTCGGCCATCCCGAAGAAAAACCGAAAGTTTACTTTTCTCTTTCGGCCGAAACCGAAATTAAGCCGAAAGTTAACTTTCCAGTTTCGGCCGAAACCGAAAATTGGCCGAAAGTGAGAAAATGGCCACTTTCGGCGCCGAAACCGAAGCCGAAGCCGAAATTCGGTCGGCCTCTAGACTGGAGTTTAAAAAAGAATAATAAGGAGAATATTGATCAGCGTGTACTTGGGGGAAAAGCAGACCTTGGCCTTTACACTGCATTTATTTTGTACTGTCAAGATCGTCAAAATAAGTTTCAAAGCATTAGCCGCCACCCTCGATGCCTGTCTCGATCATTGGCAATACAAGGCATAGACATAGATTCTGATATGCCCACCGCCAATGGCTTGAATCTCGTACTATCTATCGCACTGTTGCATATGAATGTAGAATAAATAGGGCTCTGTTGTAGAATTCAACCCACATAAAAGGCCATACCGCGTCCCTTTTTTGCGTTGTGGGGCTATTATTGGGGGGGGGGGTGTCAAGGGATCTTAAATGAGGGTTTCTCAAACAAGTTGAGAAGGTTAACTACGAATTACAAGGCTATCTGTTTCAGCCTTGTTACAGACCGGTAATGAACAAGTCTACGTTAAGCCCTTATATTAATAGGTTATTGCTTATTCCATTGCCTTAACATTCAAAGCGAAGTGCAAATTTCAGATCGTCACTGATCTAAAGTCGATCTCCATCGTCCGTCAAAGGACCGTAGAGCAAGATTAAAATTAACGGGACGTTCACACGATGCTGATGAGCACACGCTTTAAGGAGGGAAGGAAAAGACTGTTTACAATCACATTAAAAGAACCAGCAGTACCAGCGTCATAATAATATATTGAGGTGTTTTCTGTTGGTGGGGGGGGGGGGAGTTGATTTTGTATTAATCTGTTAGGTCAGCAAGTGGCGTAGCTAGGGTAAGGGGCGCCCGGGGCGGGTCAAGATTTTTGCCCCTCCCCCAAGGCGGCACTGTTTTTTTCTTTATTGTGGAGGGGTGGCGTCTTTTGCCATGGCTGCATTTTTTTTTTTTTGCCGTGGAAGTGGGGCGGCAAAAAATCTCGTGCCGCCCTGAGTGGAACTAATCCAACAGCTAGCCCCCCCCCACCCACCGTCTGAAATGTAAACTAGTGTCCTCTTAACTCCATCGGCCGGTGGACCTGTCGCTTAAATGCATTTAAAAACGAGACACTTGAAAAGTCTGATTAATGAAGACGTGTTGACACTGGAAGCTAATCTTTTTAAAATAGAGGTTTGTCGTGACGGGGAATGGCGTCGCTCAGTGCTTCATATCTAAACCCATTGAGCTTTAAAAGGGGCGATTCAATGTCAATACATTTGAACCACCTGTCTATTTTTTTTTTTTAAAGTTAATATTATTGTGCAGCGCTGCGACAATCGCCGTCGTCCAGGGCAACCAAGAAAAGTCAGAATCTTTTCAGCGTATAGTTGATCTCAATTTTGGGAACTGGTTTGTCGAGTCTTACCACAGTGCCCCCCCCCCCCTCCCCCACAGGCGGGCCCGCACCGAGTGCTGACAAGCTATGGATTTCTTCCATTCCCATGTTGTACCTTACCATTAGTGGCTTATACGTGTATGGATTTGGTTGATAAATTGATCGATACCATTATGGTAACCATGTCGAAAATGCACGTCGTTTTTCGGAAGTTTGGTGTTCGGAAAGGGCTGGGTGTGATTGTGTGGAAGGGGCGTCGCCGGTAGTTAGGGATGAATGGGAAGGATTGCCAATTATAATGGCATTAAGATTTGCCATTTTGTGTATGTGTATATCAAGCTGATCACCGGTCATTTCTACACAGTGGCGAACCTGGGGGGGGGGTGGGGTGGGGGGGTTGGGCACTTGTAGCCGTCCCTTAGGGACTCCCTGGCGGTGATCTGAAATTATTGGGTGGGGGGGGGGGTGGGGCCGTGTTGCAAACAAATATTGAGCATACGAAATTGTCTTGTTTTATTCCAAGCCAAATACCCTGGGAAAGGGGGCAGCCCATAAGTCTCCGAGGGGAGACAATGGGGAAGGCAATCAAAATATTGAACACCAGACTCAAAAGGGATGTAAGAAAGACGGAGGGAACGGGAAGAATTGATTATCAGTTGTTTGCCCTATGCAATACACTGAGGTGTGAGGAATAAGACTGAGAGTACCGGAAGGGAACGATGATAAGTGTATAGAAATATAGTGAGTATATTTGTTAGGGAGTCGCATGAGAACTTAAGGAGTAAATGTAAACGGCCATAGCGTGGTGGGGAACTTCGTGGTGAGGTAGGGTGGGAAGAGTATGGCATAATGCAGTGGTCGGTGGACAGGGGTTAATTACCCCAAACTGTGGTAACGATTGGAAATCTTGGAGTAATGAGAATTTTTTTTTCTTCACATTTTTGTCTTCATCTGGCAATGTTGCATCTGGCCTGTGTGGCAGCCAAATATATCTGACCCGTGTGACAGCAGAGAATATCTGGCATGTGTGACAGCCAAACGTATCTGGCCGGTGTGGCAGCCAAACATATCTGGCCTGTGTGACAGCAGAGAATATCTGGCCCGTGTGACAGCCAAACATATCTGGCCCGTGTGACAGCCAAACATATCTGGCCCGTGTGACAGCCAAACATTTCTGGCCCGTGTGACAGCCAAACATATCTGGCCCGTGTGACAGCCAAACATATCTGGCCTGTGTGACAGCCAAACATATCTGGCCTATGTGACAGCCAAACATATCTGGCCCGTGTGACAGCCAAACATATCTGGCCTATGTGACAGCCAAACATATCTGGCCATGTGACAGCCATTTCAATTAATTAATTTGTTTTTGTTCTTGTCATTGTTATACTGTGGTCTTATTTTAACAAGAAGAAATCCATCGGGGATGGGGGGATGGGGGGTGTGTGACGCCATGAGTTTACCGCACCGGGTGACACCAAACCTAGCTACGCCGCTGACTAAAAGTACGTGGGGTAATGGCTAAGACAAAGTCCGTCGACCCCTGGTATAGATTATGTAGTGGCGTATTCTAATTTGTCAGCCTTTGGGGGAAGGGTGGGGGGTAAGCATCCAAAAATGACGTCACGTTTGGAGAAAGGGAGAGAAAGGGGGGGGGGGGTCCACGAATTTGTGACGATGGCGGGAAAAAAAGAAGGGGGGGGGAAAAATAATGGGCCGTCATAATTCTAATTTGTCAGCCTTTGGGGGAAGGGTGGGGGGTAAGCATCCAAAAATGACGTCACGTTTGGAGAAAGGGAGAGAAAGGGGGGGGGGGTCCACGAATTTGTGACGATGGCGGGAAAAAAAGAAGGGGTGGTGAAAAATAATGGGCCGTCATTTATGGATGGCCCCGCCCCTTTGATGAAGTGCATAGGAACACCGGACCTGGTGTGAGGTTTTGTTTACCACCTGACTAGCGAAAGATTGAATGTGTATATATATATATAAACAATCAATCTTTCGCTAGTCAGGTGGTAACCAAAACCTGACACCAAGTCCAGTGTTCCTGTGCACTTTTTGCGGAACCAGTGGGGGGATCTTGAAGAGTTCCCAGATTTCTCCCCTTCTCCCAGGATTTGACCCCCCTTATTTCATTGACATCTTCTCACGTGTGTCCCTGTCTTAAACAATGCTTACCAACTCTTTGTGCTTCTCCCAGTTCCCTCTATCAGATCCCTGCCAAAGAAAATTGGCGCCCGGGCATCTTGGAGAGTTCCCAGATTTCTCCCCTTCTCCCAGGATTTGACCCCCCTTTTTTCATTGACATCTTCCCATGTGTGTCCCTGTCTTAAACAATGCTTACCAACTCTTTGTGCTTCTTTCCTGTTCCCTCAATCAGAGCCCTGCCGAAAAAAAATTGGCACCCGGGGTGAAGACTGAAAATTTGAAACCACCAACATACAGAAAAAGGTGCCGCCCCTGCAGACAAGCAAAACACGATTTTGGCGCCCCTTTCTGAAGTACACAGCATTTATCGTTTAATTCACTGCAAAGATCCTATCTAAAAATTAATTTTGGCGCTGCTCCCCCCCCCCCAACCCTGATGTTGTGCTTGGGGCCAGTGCCCCCCCCCTCGTACAGCCCTGCTTCTATCATCACCATTTTGCCTGGATCCCCTCACCATTTGATAGTTTTTGGCTACTTATGTGTTTCCTGGGGTATTTATGGTTTTAATCATTGCATGATCCATTGCATCTACAATTTCTTCACCAAATCATATGGTTATCATCTTCCTATTACCAAAATTATTCCGGATGTTATTAAACAGTTTTTTGCTAAAATTCCTGTATACATGATTATATTGACGGCTTATTTAATGTCAATCTGAACTGGTTCACTCATTCAATTAGTTTTTAAAAATAATGTATCTATCCATCCTATTTATGCTAAATGTATTTTTTTTATAGTACTTGTATTTTTGCATAGTACATTTATTTTTTCATAGTACTTGTATTTTTGCATAGTACATTTATTTTTTCATAGTACATTTATTTTTTCATAGTACTTGTATTTTTGTATAGTACATTATTTTTTCATAGTACATATGTTTTTTCATAGTACATGTATTTTTTTAATAGCACATACATTTCTTTTATTGTACATGTATTTTATAAATGTTTTTACTCCTCCCGCAGGTCACTCAGAATGTTGACCACTTAATGTGCTACAAAAATAGGTCAAACGATGACGTCTCCGGTCCGCCCATTGGATCCTGAACTCCTGAGTTTTCTACAGGTCAATCCTTTTTTTTTAAAATTTAAGCTTTTTAAAAAATCTAAGATAAATGTGCAAAAGGTTTGAGTAAATTGATAATTTACTAAACAATACACCTTCACTATGCTGGCAGCAGGTGAAACCTGTGCATGATACACATTTCACAGTCTACAGCAATTAATTATTATTATCCCCCCCCCCCCCATCTGTCAGAATTTTGCTAAAAAAGGTTTGAGTAAATTGATAATTTACTAAACAATACACCTTCACTATGCTGGCAGCAGGTGAAACCTGTACATGATACACATTTCACAGTCTACAGCAATTAATTATTATTATCCCCCCCCCCCCATCTGTCAGAATTTTGCTAATATTAAGGACGGCTGCCACGGTGTTTATTATAGTTGCAGTGAATTAGGGTTTAGGTTAGGTTGAGGGATCGATTTAGGGTTCAGGTTAGGCATAGGGCTCGATTTGAGATACATTCGTGAAATTCGATAAAATAGTGGCAGACGTCCTTAAAATTTACCCAGAATTTACATGCGCTCTTCCGCTTTCAGTCTGTTAGAAAATCAAATAATTATTCTTAAATCCATACGAATGTTTAAATTATAGAGAGAAGGGAGAAAACGCAGGGTTTATGAAATATAGATTTAGCCTAAAACCCAACAACAATCATAATAGCAAAAAGCATTCATCAGCAAACAAAAATTAAAAAGTATTAAAAAAAAAAAATGCTCATCTTGTGCTGTGTGAAGTCGGAAAGAAAAGTGCGAACAGATCTTGTTTTTTTCTGAGTCATGTCATCTGAACAAACAGTGAGGCATTGTTGTGTTAATGTCAAATATCATTCTGGTGTGTATAGCATGTCATCTTCAATGTCATTACCATGTCATCTGATCAACCCTGCATAAAATTTTTTATTAATGTCATTATTTTATTAATGTACAACGCTGATGTGTGTCACCTGTCATCTTTTCTAATCCATGTCAAAAATAACTTAAGAAAATCTATGTCATCTTTTCATTTCTCGATATATTACCATGATGGCAACCATCTAATCTATCCTATGACATCACAGACTCTAGTAAATGGCGGTGATGAGCCCCAGCCTGAGAAGACAGACAGCGACAAGGAGAATGAGGCAGGCCGAATCGGTGAGAACATGGACGCAGTGGAGAGCGAGCGAAATGTCAGATTTTCCGACTCTCTAGATGGATCTGGAAATGGTAATGAAAACATTCAAACAGATGACTCGAGGGAACATCAAGATGGACTTAAAGATAAAAACAACGACAGCGTAACGGAAGAAGATTATAAATATGAAACTTTTGAGGGTGACAACCATGAGGGGCAGAAACAACAAGAAACCGTGAACATGTCTGATGGGAGTGCTCCTAAAACCAAAAATCTCAAGAAAAAGAAGAAAAAAACTTTGAAAAAGTTCGCTCAGCGACCAATGTCTGCACATCCCACTGTCACAATGGGTTCTCAGACTGAATCCAACCACCACACTGAAGGGTACGAACCCAACAAACAGGAAACCATGAGCGAGACTGGCGGGCGGAGGCTTGGGCGGAGGAAGCAGGTTTCCCGTCCACGTTGCGCTGGACCAGAGCCGAAAGGGGACGTTCTACAACAAAAATACCTGGTAACTATTCTCTTTTGGCTCTAGCTAACAAACATTTTATTGTAGAATATAAACTTTAAACTGTATTCTAATTCCATACTAAAAAAATTCATGTCATTTTCTAGATTAAGTATTTATAGTTTTTCATTATTAATTTTAAAATAATCTCTTTAAAGGCAGCGCAGACATGCATTTCCTGTTATTTTATTCAGAAAACAAAGAATAAAATAACAAGTGAAAACGATTAATTAAAAACACTTGAAATAATTCCATTAAAATAAATAAGGAAAACTGTAAGTTCCTAATAATTTAAAAAAAAAAAAAAGATAAGATAAGATAAGATTTTTTATTGATCCAAATATATGGAAATAATTTTTGATTACATTTTACATATTTTATTTTCAGCACATAAATATAATACAAAGAAAACAAAGAATAAAATAACAAGTGAAAACGATTAATTAAAAACACTTGAAATAATTCCATTAAAAAAAATAAGGAAAACTGTAAGTTCCTAATAATTTAAAAAAAAAAAAAAAGATAAGATAAGATAAGATTTTTTATTGATCCAAATATATGGAAATAATTTTTGATTACATTTTACATATTTTATTTTCAGCACATAAATATAATACATTTTAACCAAGTCAACATTTTACAATTATAACAATGTCAACACAAGACATCTAAAGAATTTCTATATCGTAGAACTCCTTTAGTGACAACAATGACTTAATTATAATGTCATCATTTATATTTGGTAGCCGTACATATTATAATAATATTTTGTTTTTCAAATCAGCTACAGCAACTAAATATATAATTATTGTAATGAAATAAAAATAAATTCATTGCCTAAATTTCTTAGATAGACAGCGTGCCCTAAAGTGTTATTAAGAAAATAAATCAGTAAATCAAAATATCTGCAATGGTGTTTGAGAACCAGTGTCTACAAAAATCACATCAATGCATTAGAAATACTGACATTGAAAAAAAAAGTCACTTATATGAAATACATTATCTTTATATGCACACATACCTAAAATATGGATCACATGTAGGTCTAAGTACATCACAATTTACTAATCTGTTACACATAGGCCTATTTTCATACATGCATGCATGCACTAGCTTTTTAAAGCAAAGTGAGCAGCTTAATATAATTAAACTTCATTGAGCTTTTTATTTTGAATTCCTGTCCAGGAACTCCGTCAACTGATTGTCACACCGCTTGTCCACAGCGGCCAGTCCCAAAAACTGAGTCGGGAGCAGTTATTGCGTTTGCAGGCGGCCAGTCAACAATACGCTGCTGGCGATTCTCTTCCTCAAGCAGGCAACGGTGAAACAACTGGAGCAAGGAAACATGTCTACATTGATTGTATGTTGATACTATATGTCATATACATATTGGTTGTATGTTAATACTGGATGTCATATACATATTATTGTATGTTGAAAGTGTATGTCATATACATACTGATTGTATGTCAATATTGTATGTCATATACATATTGATACTACGTTAAAAAGAACTGGAGCTCTCTGTTCTCACTTAATCATTAGTATTTAATTATAAGTAATATGTAAGAGTCATCTTTATACTAGTCTGTGTAACTAATGGTTTAATATTACATCAAGAAAGAAAAGAGTTACATTAAAAATCCGATTTAAAAAATAAATCTTATTTCTACTTTTTCTTCCATTAACATTTAGAATATTTTTTAAAATCTAAATTTGTATATTATTCCATAATTTGGATAGTATTCCATAATTTGGATATTATTCCATAATTTGGAAAGTATTCCATAATTTGGATATTATTTCATAATTTAGATATTACTCCATAATTTGGATAGTATTCCATAATTTGGAAAGTATTCCATTATTTGGATATTATTCCATAATTTGGATATTATTCCACAATTTGGATATCATTCCACAATTTAGATATTATTCCATAATTTGGATATTATTCCACGATTTAGATTTCTCCACAATTTTGATATTATTCCACAATTTGGATATTATTCCACAATTTTGATATTATTCCACAATTAGGATATTATTCCACATTTGGATATTATTCCATAATTTGGATATTATTCCACAATTTGGATATTATTCAATAATTTACAAACAAACAATATTGTAACAACAACATTTCTTTTTCAGGCAGCAAATTTAGAACAGTGGTTTCCAACTCTGCTTAGAGCAGCGGCTCTCCACCTGTGGGTTGTGACCTCTTTGGTGGTCGAACAGGGTTTGACTTTGACCGAAGGAAGACAAATATTTAATAAGTAGCGACAAAATAACTGTATGGTTGGTGGTCACCTCAATATGAGGAACGGTATTAAAGGGTTGCGGCATTAGGAACGTTGAGAACCATGGGCTTAGAGAATCATGAAAAGGTTGAAATTTTGCAATGAAAAGGGCTTTAAAGGAAAAGCTTATTTCATATGCTAAAATAAAAAGCTATCTTTTAAATTGGATTCTTCTCCGGGGCCTTTTTTATGCTGAATTGTTGGGAACCACTGATTCACTTGACTTTAAAAATAAAACTGTGTCCACTGTGTAACATAAATAATATCCTTTCTTGACTTTTCTCAGTAAACCAGAACAACTTGGACGATGGCTACGGCACCATCAGGACAGTCCAGATCTTGACTCATGCCAAGAATGCACCCAGGCCTCAAACAGCAGGTCACAAACAGCGACCTCTATCAGGCCACAGCATAGATAGGAGAGCACTCTCAGCCAGCCAGACGGAGAATAACTTAAAATCCGGGGACAGAGGTCGAGTGCGAGACAGGAATGAGAGGAATGCTAAACTAGGGAGGAGTGACAGCGGCAGTGGAAGAACAAGCCAAGCAATAGAAAAGCATCACAGCTCGGAGCATCACAGCTCAGATGATAAAAACAGATCAGGAAGCCAGTCACCGAGGCGGGTCATTCTGCCGTCGGACACGCATCTCAAAAACACAAACAACCCTTTGCTGAAGCAGTGGCTTAAAAAAAAAGAAAAAGAACTTCGCCGACGCAAGCGAGACGAACGCAAGAAGGCCAAAGAAGAGAGAGAGAAAAAACAAGAACTGGAGCAGGAGAAACAAGAGTCTCTGAAAGAATCGGATCAGAAAGTGAGAGAATGGATGGTGAAGAAAAGGAAAGAGGCCTTCCTCAGAGAAAAGGAGGCAAGGAAGATGATAAAAGAGGAAGAAAGAAAGATGTTGGAGAGACAGCAGAGGCAGCAGTTGACGCCAGTATCCCGACCTCTGACTCCGGGGGATGAGACCACAAGGAGCGTGAAAACTGTTGATAATTTCATCATACATAATGGAGAAAGCATAACTCCCAGCCCGCCCCCAAGCAAGTTTGTGTACAAGCGCCCAGTCAGCGGGAGGGTCAAGCTGATCAAGTTCCAGCAGGTGCGCAAGGAGGACGCAAAGAGAGCAGAGCAAGAAAAAGAAAAATTCCAAAAAAAGTTGGCGGAAGAGAAGGCCAGAAAAATGAGAGTTTCGTATGACCAGTGGCTGCTCAAGAAGAGAGAGGATGACTACACCAAGAGGCAAGAGGCTGCTAGGCAGAGAGCCTTGGCTAAGTCTGACCCAGAGCTGGAGAGGATTGTGCCTCAGCTGGCACGGAATAGGATTGATAATATTCAGAGAGGAAAGAAGAGAGTCATCACGGGAGTGACCAAGTTTGATGAAGACATCAATAAATCCTTTGGTGGGGGAGACTTTGACCAAGAAGCTGAAAATGTTCAAGTTCAAGGTCGTTACCAGTTCGGAGTGTTGGGCTCTAAGTCGAATCTTACCGCACGTCCATCTAGTGCAAAGATTCAGGTTGCTGCTCCGCAAATGTCTAAATCCCCTAGGAGGCCTGCATCTGCTCACCCAGCCGTTGACTCTAGGATACAAAATTGTGATTCCTCAGATACAAATCCATTTAAATTGCCTTTCCCACCAGAGCAAGGGGCACCCAAGCATGTCTTGGACAAACAAAGGAAGCTCTTTGCCCCGCAAGTGATGCTGACGATGCCCAATGGTCAGCAGGTGTCCAACATAGAGCTTCAATCAGATCAACAAACACCACAGCTCGGGGTGGAAGAGGACAAGGACGATACTACTCCAAAGTTAGATAAACTTCCATCTGCTGTGGACGAAACTGCAGCACCACTATCAACTTCAGAACATCCGGACCAAAAGTCCATTGACGAAGACAATAACAATAGAACTGATTCTGAACAGACATTTTTGTCCTACTTTGTAACAGCTAATGACATTGACCAAGCAAAAGATAACCACCAGGGCATTAAATCTCCCAGACAACACTCTGTGGAGGAAGTGGCTGAAGAATTGCCAGAGGACTTCAGAGAATATGACAGCTCAGATCACAGCTCTGAGAGTAGTTCACTTACAGAAAGTCCAAGAACCGATAATGATAAAATGGAGCAAGATGCCAATGAGGAGCTGACTCCCATGCAAGGAAAGAAAGAGCATTTCAGAGATACTTCGCACGATGCTGCAGTTAATCCTAATGACTTGTATGAAAACCTTAGCTTGAATCTGGGGTATTCAGAGGAAGATGAAGAGCCAGATAAATCACAAGTTTACTATGATACGCCAGAAAAGTCTGATGATATGGTAGAAGACAAGGCCGCCTCGGAGCTGTCCGAGTCAAAGAATTTTGGGAAACATGTGTCATTTCAAGAAAACCCTGTCGTGTTTGAGCCACCCGATTTAGAGGATGGCCCCGATGTTGGACCTGATGGTGTTGTGGATGAAGAGAGCAGTTTGTTTGAAGCTCAGTTGCCAAATGATGATGATGATGATAACTTCTGATCACAGTAGTAAATGAGAGAATGTCGTTAAGGGACATTTGATCCATTTGATATCAATATGTACCGTATTTTATGGACTGTAAGACGCTACGGTCTATAAGACGCACCTTAGTTTTTAAGCAATTTTTAAACAAATAAACTATATATATATTATATTAAGTTTGAGTATAAGTCGCAGCTGAATTTTGGAGGCAATTTTTCAAAGAAAAAGTGCGTCTTATAGTCCGTAAAATACGGTAGCTATAATAATAATCCCTGAAATGATTTAGTCCGCCCAAAGGGAGTTAAGGGGTAAAACATTTGTAACAGTGGTTGAATTATATTAAATCCCTTGAAATTTGGCTTACTTATTAGTTTAAGAGCTGGGAAAGCGACTTGTGGTTACTTTACATTTCGTGCACTTACTGACTTAGGGTTTTTAGGTTGCGCTAGGGTTTTTAGGTTGCGCTGACTGGTATTGACTTACAGTATAGAATTCGTACGCTCATTGGAAGGGCTCTAAACAGTCACGGGGTATTCATGGCTATGATGGTAATTGATTTCCTACTCTTATTGATTTAGTAACCTCATTAAAAACTTACAAGGAATTGAACTCAACATCAGTACCCATTACTACCCACTCTATATAAAGTCAATACAACTAAGCATCGGTGGGTACATGGAGAGCCATCTGGAATTATTTTTATAGATCATGCACCCCTTCCTTTATTTTACACATGCAACGTGGTTGTCTTGCCCCAGCTAGTATTACTATATTTGTAGATATCCAAAGATATAATGAGTATAATGTCCCCGCCGCACCCACTAAAATTCTTTTCAATTATTGAAAGTCAAATAAGATTATTAAGATTAAGTTAAATAATTTCCTGCATAACCAAAAAAAAATGAACATTTATGCTCTCCAGTTTTATTTCTATATAAAAATTCCAGTTTTTGTTGAGCGTACTACAGAATCATACTGATGTCGAACATAGACCTTTAACTAGTAGATACGTTCTACAATGGCACTCACCACAGATTGAAGCTTAATATTGCAAAGCGGGTTTAAAATTTACACAAAGGTACACGAACCTCCTTCTGCTGTTGAGGCAATGTCAGCAGCAGCGGCACTATCAACTGCCAACAATTCTTATATATAAATCTGAATTTATTTCTTTTTCGGAGTTAGGTTCATGTTTTCTTTGTACCAGCCATTATAAATTCTATGGTGAAGTTGAAATGTATTCTTGTTAAAAAAAACAAAAAACAACAATGTCCTTGTTTCTCTGTGCAATACTGATGATTCCTTTCTTTATATTTATATTAATTATTTATATATTTTAAATTAAGAATTAGTTTAGTGATATAAATTAAGCAAGATAATTTTATCTAAACAAATTAGTGTTAAGCCTTGTCATCACAATTGTTTGGTTTTTTTATGCCTTGACTCTGCTGACCAAATAATAAACATGTTTATTTAAAAAGAAACAAAAAAAACTTTGCTAAGACTCAGTTAAAGAAATATCACCCATTTATTTCTACTGAATTCTGATTGGTTCAATGACATTTGTTTCTAATTTTACTATTTTAGAAACTGATTTCATTCAGCAAGTCAAAGAGTGAGAACTGTATGATATAAATGATAATGCTTTGATCTGATAGATCAGGTAATGCATTTTAATATAGTGAATTATTTTTGTTCATGATTCTGAATATTTTTTTTAAAGGAAGAACTAAAGGAATTCAAGATGATGATCCAAGATCACAATTTTTGTGCCAAAACTAATGTATTCTTATTTTAGTAGCCTGCTATTTATTTATTCATTTATTTTTAAAACAAAAAGATCGAATGGTTGCTTTTAAATAAACAAAAAGAAAAGAACTTTACAAAGAACTCTATAATATTTATATTTCAGTTTCTTCTTATTCAAATAAATAGATGATGCGATAGAAATGTTTAAATATCTATACATGTATTGTTATCAATAATACATTTACAACAAACTTGTATGCACTCATTTTTTAGAATGTGTATTATTTTTAAGCATATCTTCCTTTTTGACTTTTATGGAACAATAATTTATTGTATTTAGGTCAAGTTGTCACATAAATATAAGTTTTCATGGATGACTGATATGTTACATGTTCTTCACACAGTATACATTTAAATTTTTTTTTTTAAAATGAAGTTTTTTATTTTTTCATGCTAGCTTAAAAAAATGTCCACCCTGCTTTAGTCAATTAGAGATGTATTTTTATCATATCATATATATATAACAGTATTATAACTATATTTAATCAAGTAACAGTAATTTATATGTTAGTGACCGATCTCATGAATAGGTTCATAATTGTACATCGACAAAAAAATAATTACAAGCTTTTTTTTTTAATTGAAGCTTAATTTTAAAAAAATGCTATTTCTGGTTTCAAATTCTCATGTATAACATTAAATAGATTTAATATTTTTGGTCTGTCTTATTTCAACTTTGATTTTGAGGCCTGAATGGAATTTATATTTCGTATAAGTACAAAATTGATTTGAATGAAGCATCCCTCACCTCACTGCCCCATGGAACAATCTGCAATTTTAACCCATTCTGCATTAGGGCACACCTGGAAAGTTAGGCCTACATGCCCCCCATTTGTTAAAAGTGTGAGTTCCGTGGCCCATCCGAAGTGTCTGTGAACTCACATTTCTCAACACCCCCACCCCTCTGTCACAAAAATGTGACCTCTATCACTGCCCCATGGAACAATCTGCAATTTTAACCCATTCTGCATTAGGGCACACCTGGAAAGTTAGGCCTACATGCCCCCCAGTTGTTAAAAGTGTGAGTTCCGTGGCCCATCCGAAGTGTCTGTGAACTCACATTTCTCAACACCCCCACCCCTCTGTCACAAAAATGTGACCTCTCCACAACCCCCCCCCCCTTTTTCCCGACACGTGACGTCATTTATGGATGTCCTTTTCATATGGATTTGTTTTCCTTACTTTACAACATTTTACGTAATGAGATCAACAATACCATACATTACGTCACTGTAAGTATGTTCAAAATCAAATCAAGTCCCATATCCATATGTTATTAAATAAGATGCACTGTACCATACATTACGTCATTATAAGTATGTTGAAGATCAAATCAAGTCCCATATCCATATGTTACGTAATGAGACGTCCAGTACCATACACTACGTCATTATAAGGATGTACAGGATCAAAATTAAGTCCCTATCCTTAAGGATCTCTTGTTGCAGGGCCCGTAAAAGGTGACCGGCTCACAAAAGGCTTGAGGCATTAAAAGGCCCGGGCCCTAGAAGGCGCGGGGCTCTTAGGCATGTTCCTCCTTTGCCTTTATAAGGTTAGTCCGGCCCTGGGCTCGGTTGCATGCGCCCAGTCGACAGCTCAATGCCAATTATGATGACTGCAATTAAAGTTGTTATAATTTTGGCTCTATCTGCATTGTGCTGAACCAAACCATTGTGTTGAACCAATAATTGGGCTGAACCAACATTGTACCGAACCAACAATTGTGCTGAACCAACACTGTGCTGAACCAACACTTGTGCTGAACCAACATTGTACTGAACCAACAGTTGTGCTGAACCAATATTGTGCTGAACCAATATTGTGCTGAACCAACAATTGTGCTAAACCAACAATTATGCTGAACCAACTTTGTACTGAACCAACAATTGTGCTAAACCAACATTGTGCTGAACCAACAATTGTGCTGAACCAACCTTGTGCTGAACCAACATTGTGCTGAACCAACATTGTGCTGAACCAACAATTGTGCTGAACCAACATTGTGCTGAACCAACATTGTGCTGAACCAATAATTTGCTGAACGAAAAATTGTGCTGAACCACCATTGTGCTGAACCAACAATTGTGCTGAACCAACATTGTGCTGAACCAACAATTATGCTGAACAAACATTGTGCTGAACATGTGCTGAACCAACATTGTGCTGAACCAACAATTGTGCTGACCCAACATTGTGCTGAACCAACATTGTGCTGAACCAATATTGTGCTGAACGAACAATTGTGCTGAACCACCATTGTGCTGAACCAACAATTGTGCTGAACCAACATTGTGCTGAACCAACAATTGTGCTGAACCAACATTGTGCTGAACCAACATTGTGCTGAACCAACATTGTACTGAACCAACAATTGTGCTGAACCAACATTGTGCTGAACCAACATTGTGCTGAACCAACAATTGTGCTGAACCAACATTGTGCTGAACCAACAATTGTGCTGAACCAACAATTGTGCTGAACCAAAATTGTACTGAACCAACAATTGTGCTGAACCAACATTGTGCTGAACCAACAATTGTGCTGAACCAACAATTGTGCTGAACCAATATTGTACTGAACCAAACTTTTAGTTAAGGATTTTGCTCCACTGTCCTCTGGGTGGGACATGGAATAGTCCTGGATGAATCACGAAATGAATTGTGTGTTGAAGATGAATGCGTCGTTACAAATAGACAGCAAAGCATGGCAGGCAGGTTTGGCCATAAGATTGGTCAATTTACCAGTCAAACTCTAAAATATGTTATACTTATACGTCTCAACACCCCTCCCACCTACACCCCACCTCCCACACCCCACCTCCCACTCCCCACCTTCCATCCACACCCCACCTCCCATTCCTACACCCCACCTTCCATCCACACCCCACCTTCCATCCACACCCCATCTCCCACTCACACACCCACCTTCCATCCACACCCCACCTTCCACTCACACACCCCACCTTCCATCCACACCCCACCTCCCACTCACACACCCCACCTTCCATCCACAACCCACCTCCCACTCAAGCACCCTACCTTTCATCCACACCCCACCTTCCACTCACACGCCCCACCTTCCATCCACAGCCCCTCCCACCCAACACCCCATCCCGCCTCTCTCAGCTTCAGCCCATGGCACTCAAACATGAGTTGCATACTGTCTCCGGTTCTTGGGAAGAGTGTGCGTGGGGGGGGGGTGCGGGCGGGAGG